TGCTGAGTGTGGTACAGTACAGTACACAAAACAAGTTTTGGTTGTGCGAACATTGTGCACCAATTCCTGTACAGTAGTTGCAAATCTCTCTTTGTGCATTTTAAAAAATGGTATCAAAGCCCAAACCATGTATATACATGCAGCTGCAAATCCACCATGATCAGTCATTTAGATGGTGGATCAACACACACACACGTGGTGGTGTGGTGGAGGCAGACTCCATGCACAATTTCAAATGTCGATATGATAGAGCCCAGTAGACTCAGGAATGTGTACAACAGTTGATTGACGGTTGAGAGACGGAACCAAAGAGCCGAAGCTCAACTTCCACAAGCACAATTAGGTGAATACACACACACACACACACCTAAGAGGCATGAGTTACGAGGAAAGGCTGCGAGAAATGCACCTTACGACACTGGAAGACAGAAGAGTAAGGGGAGACATGATCACAACCTACAAAATCCTCAGGGGAATTGACCGGGTAAACAAGGATAAACTATTCAACACTGGTGGTACGCGATCAAGGGGACACAGATGGAAACTGAGTACTGTACCCACATGAGCCACAAAGACGTTACAAAGAACTTTTTCAGTGTCAGAGTAGTTAATGGATGGAATGCATTAGGCAGTGATGTGGTGGAGGCTGACTCCATACACAGTTTCAAATGTAGATATGATAGAGCCCAGTAGGCTCAGGAATCTGTACACCAGTTGATTGACAGTTGAGAGGCAGGACCAAAGAGCCAAAGCTCAACCCCCGCAAGCACAAATAGGTGAGTACACACACACACACGCACAGATATATTGCAGTGTCTAAGTTTACATATAAACTTGCACATTTCTCGGTTTCATCTAAGGGACTCTGCTGTAGTACTAAAGAATTCTTCTTATGAAGTATGCAGTGACATGCATGTGATGGTTATATTCACATGCAAGTATGTACAGTATACAGCACTATAAACACTAAATCGTTCACTTACAACATCTTTACCTATGTACCAGCACGTGTGTACACAGTGTATAGATGTATCTCAACTTTTGTGGGTCTGTGTTATGCACCCACATAAAAAAAGAATCATATTCACACACACACACACACGCTTGGATACTAACACTAAGATCTGCCCACGGAGACTGTTAACACATCAGCAAGATTGTATATACTGTGTAGGTGTGTCCTGGCTTTCTTTGCTTGTGTCCTGTTTATACCTCTCATTATCAAATCCCTGGCATGGAATATTGATATATACTATATATATATATATATATATATATATATATATATATATATATATATATATATATATATATATATATATATATATGTATATGTATATATATATATATATATATATATATATATATATATATATATATATATATATATATATATATATATATATATATATATATATATATATATATATATATATTATATATATATATATATTATATATATATATATATATATATATATATATATATATATATATATATATATATATATATATATATATATATATATATATATATATATATATATATATATATATGTGGTCTTCTCATTTTACTACTTTGTCTTTCGTCTGGCATATAACCAGCTGCTTTCTCTGCATTTTATTTTAAGTTTTTAACTTGTCTTCATAATCAAGCCTGAGTTTCAGTGGAAACTTTTTTTCCATATAAAATTAATAGTTTTCTAGCAAATTGAACCTTTTTTATACTGGTTCTCACATTTATACAATGCTGTATTTGTTATATATATTTATTTCTTTACTTATTCTTTATTTTTATAAAAGACAATTTTATTTTGTTTTTAAACAAGTGACTGGTTTGGCTATTGCAGTTTAGCCAAGAAATCACTAAGTCAAATACAGTACACAGTTAGCATAAGGCCTACTGATTGGAAAGAAAACAATTATCATTGTAAATATCTTTTCTTTTCTGCTCCAGAGCATATAATTATCCTTAGCAGTCCATTCTTATCCATAGAGGAAAAGACAGGCCCTTAGGCCAAAATCCTAAATGAGTGCAAATTTTAAACTCAAGATATGTAAAGTATTTGAATAGCCTGTCAACTGAGGCTTGTACTCCAGTATGCTGCTTACTGACTGCCTCTGACTTAAACTAATACAGATGGTCTATTTTCCTTCAGCATGCACAGGATTTTCATAAATGAGAGGTGAGTGTTCCAGTGCATGACGTAGACTGCCAGTGGTGTGCACCGCTTGCTCTGTTATGGCTTGATTTACTTCACAATTTGCTGTTTTTTTACTGTAGATTTTCTAGTGGTATGATATAAATAGAAATGCACTCTTATGTTCATTTATTATGCATTGCTAATAATTGTTTTCATCTAAATAAATCTGTCGTGAGGAATTGTAACAAGAGAGGCTGCGTCGTGAGTAGACCTGTCATACAGGTGCAATACTGACTATCTGAGGAATTCAGCCAAAGTATTTATTTTTTTTATATATGCTTCATGAAGGCTTTTTCTCAATAGTAACAAACGACAGAAAATTATACAGTATATCAATATTTTTGTCTCGGTGCTCCATTTAGCTGTCTCCATGGAGCCATATAAACTTGTTTGACATCTTTTTAACTTTGTGCCTTGCAAACCCATTTGTTATCCTCTGATGTTTGTTCTTTCTTCTTATTTATTCTCTGATATTTTTTTTAATTTTGTATTTAATTTTTTGCATTTTTCTTACAGTTTTGCTTGAAATTTTATCTAAACTTTTTGTGTGGTTTCTTTTATAAAATTACAGTATTATGTTTTATGTATAATTTTTTAACTTACTAAACTTCTGATTGCTTAAACATTATAATCTAAATAGATAATTTTATTTCCAACAATTGTGCACTTAAACTATGCTTATGAAACATTATTTGCATTTTTTTATTGAATTGAATTGATTGCATGCAGTTTTCTTCCAAATGTTAAGCTCAGAGAAATTGTTGTTTTATAATAATTTATTTTGAACTATAATTGTCTACCTTTACAAATTTGTTACTTTGATTCAAAATATATACAGAATTCTTTACAAATTCATATAATACAATTTTTAAATATAAACTTTTCTTCAAATACTGTAACTGAAAGAAATTGGATCAACAGCCGAGCATCTGTAGTGCGTGGACGTGTAATCAGCGGGCGAGGGACTGGCCTGCGTGGTGTTCGGGTCTCTCACTACCGTCCAGCAGACACAGGTTTTACTCTCACACGGCCTGGAGGATGGTTTGACCTCATGGTTAATGGAGGTGGTGCCGTCAGACTCCTCTTCGGCAAGTCACCATTCTTACCTGTAACTGAGACTGTCTGGGTACCCTGGAATGAGGTGCGTTACTCAGGATTTTACTGTTGGCAGATTTCCAGATTTTCTATTAACTGTGATGTTAATGTAGTAGATTCTTTCCAAGACATTGAGGAATGTATAATACTGTAGTGGTTTGGTACAATTCATTATATTATAATAATAATAATAATAATACACGGAGAGTAATCACACTAACGTGATGTGCCAATGAGAAAATCCATAGGAGAACAAGGAATGCGTGGGAACACCCACCGCATAGGTTCGAACCCTCATCACAGCTCCTTTGGATTTTCTCAGCAATAATAATAATAATAATAATAATAATAATATATCATGCAATATACATTGGATATGTTAAGGTGGTTACATAGTAGGTGAAATAATTATATATTATATAGAGGCACTAGTTACAACATTTCAGGTATAATTGGAAAATCTTCACTGTGAAATGAATTTCAAAATTTCCTGAACTACTCTATTCTGTATATATAGTTGAATGCTGCATGCAAATCCTGTTGTAAATGTACAGTTGTGCTGTACTGTATTTTAATGCATAAAGTTACCTGATTTAATATTTTACCTTATTTTATATACTGTACATACATACATACATCGAGCACACCGTTATGATAGCTTATGTTCCTTTAAGATAATATCCATTTTCACGTACAGTTCAATAATACAAAGTAAAATGTGAAACTTAAAATAGTTCGATTACAATATAGGTCAATATTATATTATAATCAAAACTAGAATAGTTAATTAAATCTAATGTTTTCTCATCCCGCAGATTGTTGTTACAAACACAATAGTCATGACGATGGCAGATGTTGTGCCACCACCACCACCAACACCATGTCCAGACCATAACTACGATGCTCTGAAGCCTGTAGTCCTTGCCACATGGAAACACGGTTTTCAGGGAGGTTGCCCCGAGTGTTCAGCAATCCTGACAGAATCTCAGGTGGTACAAGAGAGTCTCAGCATACCTGGAACTGGACTTCACCTTGTCTATCATTCGTCCAGGTGAGTGATGCATAAAAATGTAGATGGCAGGAAAATCTTATTTCCTGTCTTTATGCAAATGAGATTCATGCATTAGTCATAAAAGAGTATCATCTTTTTCTATAATAATAATAAGAATAATATATTTTTGTATAACTTCAGATTTTATTTTGTTAACAGGGTTATTTTAGGAAAAGTGAGGTGTTTAGAAAAGTGGTAACAACTAGCATGCATAATTGAATTGGTTGATATTGTCATTGCACTAGTGCATGGGTAAGGACTCTGTACTTGTGTGTGTGAAGTATGCAGAGTATTTCAACACCAACTTTTTTATGAAATTTGTATTCTGCTTTTGGAGTACTGTAGGGTACTTGTATAGATGTGAATGATGAATGGAAGTGACAAATTCAGGTGTTAATTTATAAATAAATCCATATTATGTTATCTAATAATGTTATATATGTAATTGAAAGAATTAACACAGTGCTTGACTTATATTTGCCAGGGCTTTGGGTTATGAATCTACCATCCAACTGCAGCTAACTCCCTCTGTGATTCCTGAGACCCTGCGTAGGATATATTTAAGAATCACCATCGAGGGTATCCTCTTTGAGAAAACCTTCGAAGCTGACCCAGATATCAAGTTCACTTACGCCTGGAACCGTCTCAATGTCTACAGGTGAAGGACTTTCAAGATGGACATTGGAATATATGATTATATGTGGATGGAAATATAAAACTTCCTTTTTTCATTTTTGAAACAGTTTTTGTATACAATTATAGCAGCTACTTTATTTTGACAAAGTCTGTCAAGTTTGACAAGTCTGCTCTTTGTTTCTTTATTAGACTAAAATGCTGCATCTGTTATTTATATTCATTATATTTGTTTCCTATTAAACAGAAATTTAAATTATTTTGTTTATAATTTAAATTATTTGTTATTTTATAAATTAATTATTTAAATTATTAATCAAAACATTACTAATTTCCATATTTTATTGGTATGTGCAGGCAGCGTGTCTATGGAGTAACATGGGCTGTCGTTAAGGTTGGGTTTGCTTATAGCAACTGTGACCAGATCATATGGGATGCCCAGACTACTCAAGTCTCGGGGCATGACATGAGCATCTCGGACATTGGTGGGTGGGATCTCTCTATCCATCATAGATACAATTTCCATGAAGGTGAGTCGGAGACAAAAAGAATATTTCTCTTTCATGCTCTCAATTTGGGTGTTGTTTACTCTTTGATCTTTTAAATAGGAAATTTTGTCTTCAAATGCAGTATGTAGTACGCCTTACCTCTATTACAAATGAGTTCCTTAACTGCTGCCAATGTTTCACCATGCATTTGCTTATATTGGGGCAGTCTACCTTTCTGGTGGCTTTTGTCCTTGACTTGGGTTGATCTAATCAGGCAGCTAGCTCAGGGAGCCACTGAGGAGATCCAGCAGGAAGAGGCATTGTCAGTGCTAGATTTTTCATATTTTTCCTTTGACTAAATTTATTTCCCAAGTACTGTACTGTGTAGTAACACTTTTTATTATTATATTATTAGGAGGGGTACCCAGCTGCACCTGGGTCTCTCCCCTCCCACTTTCCCACTCCCTTCCTCTCCCACCTCTTTTTGTTAACTCATGAGAGTTAATAAAGTACTGTACAGTAATTGCAATGCTCCTGGTACCTCATGCCAACTGCTCTGAAAGGTCTAATAAATGTGCATGAAGTGAAGTAGTGTGCGAGATCATAACCCAGTTCCTGCTCACAGAGTTTGCACCTGGAGTGCTCAGGATTGGGAGATCCATCACTTGTAGCCACCTGCCACAGGTAACGGTAACCCAACCTGATACTTTGTCTGAAAAAAATTAAGAAATCTTGGGATTCAGCCTAGTGCCTAAATCTAGGGACTTTCACCAATTAGTGGGTTGGGGGGTCACTATTTTTCTGATACCCCTCTTAACAGGACTAGTAGGAGCAACCTTGACCAGCATATTTCCATCCCGTACCCCAGACCTTGCACCCTGCAAAGTTGAGTGAGGCTAGCTAGTCCCAAGCATCTGACCTCCAACCATGGACAGATAGACATTCTCTCTCATATAGATTACAAAGTACCTCTGACATTTCTGTGGAAATACGGTAAAACCTAACTGGGATTTCATGTCATATTCATGCATTTTGTTGATCAATTGACGTATGCCTTTTGTAAGCAATGGGTTGTTTAGCCTTTTGGTGATAGTGTTAAGTTAGCAAGGTACTGTGCTTTTATGTTTCTGACAGCTTCAGTGAAATTTCTTATGGAGGAAATAGGAAATAGGAAATGACTGCATTGTGCAGTCTGAAGCTAATATTCATAGTCTCTAGTCGTGATTTTAGGTGTACTGTAGTTGATAATATTATTGAAACTTTAATAGTGACTTGTGGTAACTATTTTGATTAATGTATTAAAGTTTATGATGATCTACAGGTTCTTATTTTTTATTAGGTTCTTTGAAATTTTGTTGAAATTTATTTCTTTTATTTCCATATTTAGGTATCCTACAGAAGGGTGATGGGCGTAATATGCATCTCAAACAGAAACCACGTGTGCTGCGGACATTAATGGGAGATGGTCATCAGAGGGAGGTGTCATGCAGAGCCTGTGATGGGCCGGCAGACAAGCAGCGTCTTTTGACTCCTGCAGCCCTGGCTTCAGGTCCTGATGGATCACTATACATTGCAGACTTCAACTTGATTAGACGTGTTTTACCAGATAACACGGTAAAAACAATAGTGAAATTAAAGTAAGTATTTTAGCTTGCGTAATAATTTAGCTTCAGTAATAATTCAGATTGTACAGCAGAATGTTTTCCTGTATGTGCAGTACAGCAAAATAAATTTGTAACATGCATTTTTACTAGTCATAATTTCTTCAACATTTATTAATGATACTCCTTACATAGTATTTCATATCTTAATTTACCTCTTGTGTTCTTACAGTGAGACTCGAGTTTCTTACCGTTACCATCTGGCTGTGAGCCCAGTCACTGGAGATGTTTACATAAGTGACCATGAGGCCCATCTCATCCTGAAGGTTCGGGACCCAGATGACTTCTCCAGGCCTGAAGAAAACTATATGCCTTATGTAGGATCTGGTGAACGCTGTCTACCTGGAGATGAAGTGGGTTGTGGTGATAACTCACTTGCTCGAGATGCCAAACTCCAATATCCCAAAGGAATGGCTCTGTCTTTTAATGATGTTCTTTACTTTGCTGATGGTACTAATGTTCGAGCAGTAGATGCAGATGGAATCATCAACACAGTAATTGGCACTCACCGACATCGTGCACATTGGAGACCACTACCATGTGAAGGAACTGTACCTGTATCTGAAGTTAGTTTGCGCTGGCCCACTGCCTTAGCCATCAGCCCCTTAGATGACTCTTTATATGTACTGGATGATCATCATGTGTTGCGACTGACTCATGATGGACAGGTGAAAGTAGTGGCTGGCAGACCTCTCCACTGTCCTCCCTTGGGACATGATGTACCATCTGACCTTGCAGCTCATACCACTCTACGGTCTCCACAGAGTCTAACTTTTGCCCCTAATGGAGACCTTTACATTGCTGAGAGTGACAATGAACGTATCAACCGTGTCCGTGTTATTGAAACAGACGAACGGATTCATGACTTTGCTGGTGCTGATTCAAAATGCAATTGTCAGGAGGAAAGCTGTCTTTGCTATGATGAATCTCATGTATTGGCTGCCACAGCTGTCTTCTCAACCATTTCAGCTCTGTCTGTGACCCCAGATGGTTCGGTACATGTATTAGATCAAGGTAATCTGCGCATTCGTTCTGTCACCTCCTCTATCCCTGAGCCAAATGCACAGCGTATTTATGAGATCTACTCCCCAGAAACACAAGAAGTATACATATTCAACAGATTTGGCCATCATGTGGAAACGCGCAGCATTCCCACAGGACGTACAATCTACATGTTTGCATACAATGTAAACACTAGCAATGGCAAATTGTCTACAGTCACAGATGCTGGTGGGAATCGTGTTTCCTTCCTCCGTGATTATGCAGGACAAGTGACTATGATAGAGAACTCCCGCCAACAAAAATGCCGATTACATATGTCACGGACACGCCGCCTAGAAGAGTTGGTAACGCCTGATGAACACAATGTAACCTTAACTTATCATGGTGCTTCTGGCCTTTTGCGATCACGAATGGATTCAACAGGACGTGCCCATGTGTACTCCTATGACACCTATGGCCGCCTGACCCGTGCAGTCACTCCCTCGGGTCAGGTCATAGACCTGTCATTTGACCTGAGTCAGAAGGGAGCTCGAGTAACTGTGACTCGGGATGGCACTGCACCAATCGCCATGCTCATCAAGGGTGCACTTGTCACAGAGACAATTGGTAAGTTTCTTGATTGCAATGAACTCTGCTGTCTTTGCTTATGGTTACTATAATAAATGTTGTATTTTGTAAATGTCATTTATGCTAAATACAATAACATAAGAACTTGTAGTCTGAAAATGCCTTATGAATTTATGTTCACCAGAGTTGTCCAAACGTTTGCTATCATATTATTTCTTCAGGGTCAGCCTCTAGTGTTACTGCCCAGCTCTCTGATGGATCAGTTGTGACACGTACAGCCTGGGGTCATCACATTGCTACAGAAACTGTACCATACACCCTCTTGCAAGATCACACTCTTGCCCACTCGTTCCCAGTCTCTGGCAGGCAACGTACAGAAATTGGAGATGAACTTGTCAACAGCTTTGATTGGAAATACTTCGTAGAAATTAGTGACCAGAATGGACCAGTGACACAGGTAACTTGTATATTTCCTCACAAGATGTTTTGGTGCATCTTCCACAGTCTATAACATTTGAGGGTGTATGAAATATACAGATTTTTTTTTTTTTTTAAAGATTTTATGAATACCCTCAATAAAGGATATTATTCAGTGAGAACAAGGCACCAAGGATAAAAATAGATGTAGGCTTATAAGAAAATAAGTTGTAACTGTTAACATTAAAAAGTAAGATGAGACTGGCTCACTTAAGATACCAATAATGATAGAAACATTATTGATATAGTGAGTGGCTTTTTATGAAATATAAATGAACGATATAAAAGAAATGGTCCTTGAAAAACTTTGATAGATTTCAGTGCTTTATCCTGATATCAAAGTTCAAGATAGAGAAAATAATAATAATAATATAATAAACATTGCCACCTCATTTCTACACAGTATCACATAGAACCAGAACCACCACACATCAACAAATCATTCACAGCAGCTCCCTCACCTAATAAAACTGGATGTACCAGTACGTCCTCTTTGTAATCTACTGCCACCCAGGTTTCTTAACTACCACATCACTTGAGTTTGCATAGTTTACCATATCTGCCAATTTTTGTCTTGAATTTCTTTTGCTACTTATACTCTCAGATTCACTATCTACACAAATTCTATCATCATCTATTCTTTCGACGTGACCAAACCCCCACCTCGGTATACTCACTCAAGCCTGCAACAGTGAGGAGCAGACTGAGAGACAGACTATTGTGAGAGACTGGCTATGGTGAGGGTCAGATGATGAAGTGCCAGGTAAAGGTTAGGGACAGCTGAGAATGAGGGGAACGGAATGATGAGAGTCAGGCGACAGCAAAGAGCAGGTGATAGTGATGGGCTTGTAATGTAAGGGGCAGGGAACGGTGAAGGGCATGCAATATAAGGGGTAGGTGACGGTGAAAGGCCAGGGTACAGTGAAGGATGGATACCAGTGAGGCGTAGGCTTGGTTATGGGCAGATAACAGTGAGGGGCATGAGTGAGTAAGGGCCAGGCAACAGTGAAGGGGTTCAGGCTGCAGTGAAGGACAGGTGACGATGAGGAGCCAGGCTACAGTGAAAGACTAATGGGCTAGTGACAGATATCCACCACTGAAATGGCCCAACTTTGCCAGAAGTTATTTTGTATTGTGTAAACCATGATACTGTACAATTGTAAACTACTAGTATATGTTACTTAATATCTATGGACAAATGGTAGCATAATTTTTATTTTCCAATTCATTAGGTTGGCAGGAAGATGAGAGTGAATGGTGAGGATTTGCTGACATTCAAGTATGACCTCTACACTGGAACAGAGGCTGTTTTGAACGAAGCAGGTGTTACCCTCCTCAATGTATCATATGATCCTCTTGGACGACCTTTACGATGGACTCCAGCTCAGCCTTTCCTTCCTGTAGAGATGTCTTATGACAGATTTGGGCAGCTTGAGCATTGGTCGTGGGGTGATATGAAGGAAGAATATGCCTATGACCGCAATGGAAGATTTGAAGGCGTTACATATGCTGATACTTCTAAGGTCATGTATTCCTTCAAGGACATATCCAGCGTTAAGGTTTGTATCTGAAGCTTTCAGACACTTATAATACTGTAGTTATACGTTAGAATATACCCAGAAAGAATACCGTATAGTTTTCAGTTAGTTAATTTTGTTAACTTTTTATTTCAAAACATGTGGTGTCCATTTCATATCCAACTCCACCATGTACTCAATACAGTCTTCAGTAATCACTGTACTCCTCACTTTTATTACACCATTTTTTCATATCCCGATACATTATGGCCAATGATACTTAACTGGATGATTTTGATCGTGTGCTTCAGACAAAACATAGTTTACACAAAATTTCATATATAAACTGATTTAAATTATATATTTTTCTTACATATTCATGTGACTATAATTAATAAAATTTATTCCTTTCAGCCATATAAAGTGAGTGTGTCATCTGGTGCTGAACATCTTCTCGAGCATGATGAAGGGGGAGCCTTGTCTGCTGTCACAACTCCTCGTGGTCACAAGTATGCCTTCCATGTCCAACCATCTCTTCTCCATAATCGTTTCACCTTCACACCTCCTGGATCACCACGTCATCCATACCAGCTCTTCTACAGTGATGATGGCCGAAAGCTAGCAGAAATATTACCACACCAAGCTAGTCGTGTTATTTATCATTATGATAACAGTGGGCATTTACATCAACAGCTATTTGGTGATGGATCAGTTGAATATGGATATCACGCAGAGACTGGTCTTTTGCGAACTGTGTCTGTCAGAGAGAGAGGATTTGAGCTACGCAGCGATAACAAATATCACGCTGGACTTGTCAAGGAGCAGAGAGTTAGGTTCGGAACAACTTCTGGCTTGGATTCTGCTAAACTAAGATTCTTGTATGATGGAAATGCACGCCCAAGACGAGTTGAGGTGGAAATCAATGGAAAAGAGCAGCCAGATTATGATATGAAATATGACATGATTTTAGGTACTTTAGATAGTGTGGGAGACTTGAAAGTAACTTCCTCATATCACAATAAAACAGTTGTACAGGATGCCCGTAAAACGATGCTACGAGTGACTGGCTATGATCCACATGGGCGCATTGTTGAATCTGCTTTAACACTGCGTAGCCGTATGGTGCACCGAAGTAAGTATAGTTATGACAGTCGTGGAAGACTTGCATCAATGACTACTAGGCGAGGACCTGGTTCTACTGAGATACGCACCAATTATACATATACTCCTGATGGTTTCATACAGGCTGTAGATGGAGTAGAATCTTGGCAGTTCCGTTATGATAAAAATGGCAACATGATTGCTGTGGTGGAGGGTGGGAGAGAAATGACAGCAACATATGATGGAGCTGATCGATTGGTTGGCTGGGGTGATGTTGAGCTCAATACATATTCCCCAGGAGGTACAGTGGTAAGACAGGGTGAAGTCCATCTCTCTTATAGTGCTCGTGGTAACCTTAAATCTGCCTGGCAGCAGGGACAATATAAAATCTGGTGCAGACATGACCATCGAGGAAGGCTCACAGTGTGGGAGGATGACCATGGCAATGTTACCCAGTTCTTCTATGCAGACTTACTTCGACCAAACCTTCCCACCCATATACACTACCCTAAACAAGGTGAAACACATTCCTTAGAATATGATAAACGTGGTCACCTTATGGCTCTACACACAGGACGACATCGATACTGGGTTGCCACAGACCATCTTGGATCACCTGTGGCAGTGTTTGAGGACTCAGGAGTGTTGGTAAAAGAAATCGTCAGATCTCCTTGGGGAGCCACTCTTAGTGATTCTAAACCTGATCTCCTCTTGCATGTGGACTTCCAGGGTAGTCTTCGTGATCCAGTTACAGGTTTCCTGACTTTTGGCCTCCATACTTATGATCCTGTTCATGCTCAATGGATGGCACCACGCTATGACTTGGTAACCAGTGCTCCAAACCATGTGGGGGCTATTTATGTCCATCGATTCCACGATAATGACCCTATCAATCGTATAGCTCACCAACCACGGCATTACACAGGTAAGAAGTTTGGTTTATCATTTGAGCTGGTAATGATATAATGTACTGTATAACTTGTTTCCTTGAACCTAAAATTATCTAGCCATGGAATTAAAAAAAAATAGCAAGTATTATTCTTTTTTCTTAACAAATGTATCAAGAGGTCTAATATATGTTGAATTATATAAGTACCAAAGGTCTCATACTGATTAGTAGGGTCTTCTTACTTCATATTAAACTGGCCTTCTATTAATTTTAAATACCATCTGCTTATTTTAAAGTAAATAATTGCTTTGTTCATGATTACCTTAACAATCTTCATTATAATTGATCTTTGTTCTGATGCAAAATTAATAAAAAAATTGAATTGTTCCTTTTCAGATCTGGACAGCTGGCTCGAACTTTTTGGAGTCGACTTGTCAAAGATGTTGGGATCCAGTTACCATGACGAGACTGTGGAAAAGCAGAGAGGTGGACTGTTAAAAGCTTCTCAGCTAGCACCATCGCTCGATGTTATATCTGGCTTGTCCTGCTCTACAGAAGGTGTATTGAGACAGTTTTCACAGCCATCTCTGTTACCAGAGTCTTTGGTGCGATCTGATGCACCAGCATGGGCCATCCCTGGCTGGGCAGCTCTTGGAAGATTCTCATCATCACCACCAGTACTGGGCCCTGGAGTTTTAGTGTCGCGGGTGAATAGTAGGGCACTTGTCACTTTAGTGCCATCAAGAGAAAACCCTGTGGTACAGGATGTTGCGAGAGATGTTCTTAATGGCTCGGCCTTACTAGATGTGACGCTTACTCACCATCACCACCATACACTTTACTTAGTTAAAGAAAATGCTGAACTCCGCCATGATGATTTGCAGCAGCTTCTGCGATTAAGTGGCCGGTTTAATGTGTCGGCTAAGGATAATGGAGAGCACCATGAGATAAGAGTGGTAGGCAGTGATGTATCTCTAGTGCTACTTTATGGTGTTGATCCACCCACTGCCCGTCACCGCCTGTTGCGCCATGCCCATCGTCGAGCTGTTGACCATGCATGGGAGAATGAGCGCCTATTATTAGAGCGTGGTTCTCCCACAACTCATGAATGGACATTAGAAGAACGTGTAGAGCTTGAGAGTAAGGGAACTGTGACTGGCTATGTGGCTGCTGATATGCACTCCATTCATCGGTATCCTCTTCTGGCAGACGATCCCACCAACGTGGTCTTTAGACGTGATACTGGACGGCGGCGACGACGTAGCCAAGCTGATATCGAATCATGATCCCTGGGGCAGGGCGTGGCCCTTGTACATACCGCTGTATAGTGTAGCGCTGTGAACCTGTACACACTGTACAAACAGGGTATTTCTCACACATTGTACACATCTCTCCGAGCCGGAGAATAATCCTCACATGTGATAGAGGCAGACTGTGTGGTGCAGGCCATTGTGTCAGTAACTGGGGGGGTGTAGGGGTGGGTCAGAGATTGTGCAAGAATGGTGCCAACATGGTGTCATGGACATGTGGAGAATGGGGCACAGTGAATATTTTGATGTTCCACTGTAGCCCTGTAGCACTGTTGCTGCTGGCCAGTGTAAATAGTTCAAGCCTAGCAGTATTTTATACTGTCAGGGTAGTCAAGGTTCTGCAATGGTATATAATTTTGCTGCTTAACATTCCACTGTGAATCATGTACTTTTATGGAAAGACAAGTATGCAAAGTTGGTGTGAAGCACAGAGAGACAGCAAGACATATATATTTTGTACGTTTTTGTTACAATCATGTCCATTATTTAGAGATACTTAACGCCTATTTCTATTTGAATGTATCCTGTGTCCTAGCGAGATGTCTTATGGTGTGAAGCTATGGTTGAAACTTTCAACAAAAATATAAAAACTTAATTTTATTGAGGAAAGCAGATGGAGGTACTGGTGACATGCTGTATATATATATATAATAGAATATTAGGAGTTATTCAATTTTATTTATGCATGTGTACATTTTGACCTTTCCTGCACTGTAGGAATCAAATTTTTTATTTAATAAGTTCTAAGCTTTGCTCTTTTTTTATATTTTTATTTAAGGAGATACAGCAATTATGAGGCTAACAAACAAAATTTCATTAAAGCTCATTTTTTTCTTTTCTAACATACGGAAATTGAACTTTAATGATAGGCTCATCTTTACTGGTTATCACTATAAGACATCCCGCCTGAACTGCAATAATTACGTGAACATTGAGGTCCAGATACATGGCGTTTCTCTATGTTTTCTGGTCCACTTAAATGACGTGTAGTTGGCAATATTAGTGATTCCTTGTTGTTTCTGATGTTTGTTATGGTTAGCTCATGTGGTCTGGTACGTTATCTGTTGAGGCAAGCCACTAGTCAAAAAATGCTAGACGAGATAATGAAAGCAGATGTACTACATGAGCCATAGAACATCAACAAATGTACTACACAATCCATTAAAAAAAAATTTACTTCATGATCTATTAAAAGCATTTATGCTACATTCTGTATTAAAAACAAATGTACTAAACTATTCATTAAAAAAAACAAATTGCTACATGATCCATTTAAAACTAAATTTATTACATGTATTAAAAACTAATATCCTAACATGATATGCAGTATTCAAAAACTAATTTAACACATCCAATAAAAGCAAATACTGTATACTGTTGTACATTACATCTTCCAATAAAAAGTCTGATGTGTGATTTTGCGGGAAAGTAGTGTTCCTTTCAAGATACAAATGGTGTGTAATAAAGCCTTGAAGTAATTTTCACTAAAGAGAAGCTCATATTTAAGACAAAATTATTAATTAGCCAGACAGTGACAACTAAAATAAGATACAGTATATGTGAATAATTATCTTTATGTACCAAACTGGTAACAACATTGTTATTCAATGTTAAACTGCCATACATATAAAAATATTGGAATATATATCCTCTTCTGAGGATATTCACTTTATATTTACACAAAATAAAAATATTCATATGAATTATATTTTGAAATAAAGTAGTCCTTCTATAAATATATTATTCACGCACAAGGTATTGAAGTATCCTGGAATATTCATTCACCTAGGCAGAAATTTCTGTACCACATAATACCGTACTTATCCTGAATGTCGAGCAATTACTATAAAATAAGATGTATTCCATGGGATGGGTGGGTGCAGACCGGATATTCGTCCAGGTTACACTGAGCTAGCCCTAGTTACAGTCACAAGATTGGTGCTTTAGTTTCTAGTATGTAGCACTACTTCTGATGTCTTGAGTGATACAGAGTAGTAATATTTGATTTGGTTGGTGCTTTTTATTTATTTACATATATGAATCTTAGATGGAACAGAGCCCTAAATTTTGTAATAAATATATAATTTGCCTTTTAGTACAGCTTGGCGCAACCAACATATCAAGACACTGTAGAATAGGCTATATGTTCATGTGCCATAGAGTTCACATTGGTTGCTTGTGCCAAGAGCTAGATTTGGGGGTATGTTTTGTACAGGCATGTCAAAGAGATGAATGTTAGAATAGCCAAAGATGTGAATGATGTTGAATTACTATATTCTCGTGCCCTCCCATCTACCTGCGATATCTACAAAGTGATGCATAGCCAAGTCTATTTCTCTCTACAGGATAGTGTGGTTTGTACATTAAAAGGGGAGATATTTCAATCTTGTTGTTTGTCTTCTTTCACAATGACTTCATCATTCATGTATAGATTTTATTTCTAAGTATTTCCTTCTCCCATTCAATAACTTTTGCTCTCCTAACTTAGGAAATATTTCACATCTAACAAATTGTATCTTCTGTATAATAAAATACATTAACTGCCATGCTGGGGTAATAAAAGACCCTTAAAAACACATCATGCATTATAAAAAAAAAAGTCCACACACATTGCAGTACAGATGTATTCTTCTAAAAGAAAACTGCATTTTTAAGTTGAGCATATTATTAAAAAAAATATGTACAGTATGTATGTATGTATATATATATATATATATATATATATATATATATATATATATATATATATATATATATATATATATATATATATATATAATTGTGTGTGTGTGTGTGTGTGTGGAAAATCCACAGAGAAATGGAAAAGGAAGATGAACAGTTTGACCGATCAAAGCCGTTGTCAACACCTGAACTGAATTTGGCCTTGATTGGCCAAAATGTTCATCTTCCTTTGCCATTTCTCTGTGGATTTTCCGCATACAAATGATCAGTGTTTCATGATCGTCAATTGTGTGTGTGTGTGTGTGTGTGTGTGTGTGTATGTATGTATGTATGTATGTATGTATGTATGTATGTATGTGTGTGTGTGTGTATGTATATATATATATATATATATATATATATATATATATATATATATATATATATATATATATATATATATATATATATATATATATATATATATATATATATATATATATATATATATATATATATAATGTCGTACCTAGTAGCCAGAACACACTTCTCGGCTTACTATGCAAGGCCCCATTTGCCTAATAGGCTGAGAGATTTTCTCTTCTTTTTCAATAAATTATTTCCAATTAGTTTATTTGAATTATTATTATTATATTATATTAGGAATATAAATTATTGACATAGTTTTGTTAGTTTAGGTTAGGTTTAGATAGGTTATGTTAGGTTAGGTAAGGTTGGTTAGGTTCAGTCATATATCTACGTTAGTTTTAACTCAAATTTAAATAAATTAACATATACATAATAAAATAGATAGATTTATCATTTCATAAGAAAAAAAATGAGAAAAATATATAAATTCAGGAAAACTTGGCTTATTAGGCAAATCGGGCCTTACATAGTAGGACGAGTACGATGTTCTGGTTACTAGGGACAACATATATATATATATATATATATATATATATATATATATATATATATATATATATATATATATATATATATATATATATATATATATATATATATATATATATATATATATATATATATATATATATATATATATATATATATATATATATATATATAATGACTGTCAGACCATGGAGGAAGAATTGAAACAGGAATTTTCTTAAGTACTTTCATATATTAATACATCTTCAGAAGGAATATATATATGATTCCTTCTGAAGATGTATTAATATACGAAAGTACTTAAGGAAATTCCTGTTTCATTTCTTCCTCCGTGGTCTGACACTCACATTTTTCATCAGGTGTTAATTTACATGATTTATACACACACACACATAAAAATAAATATATATATATATATAGTGCGGAAAATCCACTGAGAAATGGGAAAGAGAGATGAATGTTTCGGCTGATCTGGGCCTTTGTCAACATTGGAGACTAGTCCGGTGTTGACAAAGGCCCAGATCGGCCGAAACGTTCATCTCTCTTTCCCATTTCTCTGTAGATTTTCTGCATACAAATGATCAGTGTTTAGTGATCGTCAATTGCATATATATATGTATGTTGTACCTACAAACATATATATGTATGTTGTACCTAGTAGCCAGAATGTAGTACTCAGCCTACAATGCAAAGCTTGATTTGCCTAATAAGCCAAGTTTTCCCAAATTTATATATATTTTTTTTAATTTGCTTATGAAATGAGAAAGCTATCCAATTTATTATGTATGAGTTTATATATTTTAATTAGAGTTAGAACTAATGTAGATATATGACTGAACCTAGCCAACCCTACCTAAACTAACATAAATAAGTCAAGAATTTATGTTCCATAATATAATATAATAATAATAATTAAAATAAACCAATTGTATTTATTTTTTTAAATTAAAAAAATCACTCAGCCTATTAAGCAAATTGGGGCTTGCATAGTAAGCTAAGAAGTGCATTCTGGCTATATATATATATATATATATATATATATATATATATATATATATATATATATATATATATATATATATATATATATATATATATATATATATATATATATATATATATATATATATATATATATATATATATATATATATATATATATATATATATATATATATATATATATATATATATATATATATATATATATATATATATATATATATTATATATATATATATATATATATATATATATATATATATATATATATATATATATATATATATATATATATATATATTACAGCATATTCTTGTACAGGAACAGTGCATTATTACATGTCATAATGCAATGATCCCCAAAAAGATCATGTATTGTACATCAGTGTATTACCTTGCTAAGGATAATCCTTGTAATACACATGAACTAACATGAAGTTATCCAGATTTCCACACTATTAACCATAAGAGCTGGTTCCATGACCTCATTCTTACTTCTCTACTAGACTTCTCCAGACTCAGTCGTCCAGAATTTAGAAATATTTAGATAATCTAGTGTTAACTGCAAAAGCGATGTTATTTTATGAAAGGAGAGGTAGATAGTTGCACACAAGCTCTTGCAAGAAAGATGATTGTTTTATATAGTAATTATGTATAAATACTTTTAGTCCCCATGTTTTACCAAACCATGGCATTATTTTTTCCAGGTCCCTGAAGTCATATATTTTGTGGGATTTTTTAAACTGCAATATTTAGATATTTTACATACTATAGGAAATATTGTGCAACATTGGGCATTATTAATCATTATTGACATATATACATATAGATCGGTGAATTGAAAAAGAACTGTATGTACTTTTGTCTTTCCCAAACAATCTTTAAATTTGTAGTCTAATAAGTGTTGAGCGATGCTATGTTTGTACCGTACAAGCCCGTAATGCGGGGTCCTGCGATTAATGTTACTGTAAACAAGAGAGATTATGTGCACGGGGGCAGCTGGTCTCCGCTAAAATAAAATATGGCGTAAATTTATTTTTTCACATTTCATCCTTTTTGGCTATACAGTATATATATGACTATAATTTATCTCCCATACATTAATGTATGTCAATAACTAGAAACAAAAAGTTTGAGAGAAAGATATGCTGAAAAACCATAAAAAAGTAAGGTTTATTAAAGAGATCATTTGAACTATTTGCTGGTTGCATTCTGAAGAAGGTTACTAGCTTGCCTATGGGGTAAACATCAATAAACCTAACATGCTTCCTGTCCCTGACAATGTGAAACCATTCTATTGTCAATTTTTTTAATGTAAGTTTGCACCAGGCCTAGTGTATCTAAGCATGAAAACCTCTCCTAAAAAAATAAATGCATTGACAAGGATTAACAGTTACAAATTTTCTCAAAACTCATACCAGGAAAGGTCAAGGGATTTGGGACTAACAGTTCTGCAACACTATATGAGAAAACTGATCAATGAGACTTAAAATACTGAACAAACTGGAAGACAATTCAGACAACTTCCTTAACTGGTCCAACATAACTCCTACAAAGGGGGAAGAGATTCATGCTGTCAATATGTAAGACATAAAATAGCTGGAGATACCTTCAGCTATTCTATAGGGGCCTGACAGCCAAGTGGACAGCGCCTCGGATTCTAGTCCTGAGGTTCTGGGTTCGATCCCTGGTGGAGGCGAAAACAAATGTGCAGTTTCTTTCACCGTGCTGCCTCTGTTCACCTAGCAATAAATAGGTACCGGGGAGTTAGACAGCTGCTACGGGCTACTTCCTGGGGATGTGTAGCAAATAGGAGGCCTGGTCGAGGACCGGGCCGCGGGGACGCGAAGCCCCGAAATCATCTCTAGATAACCTCTTCATCCATAGGGTAAGTAATTATCAAATGAAGATGTAAAGCCTGGATGACTAATAAATACCAGCTGTGGTACAAAACAATAAACATCATGGATATTTAGGATACCAATTCAAAGTCATGAAAATATAAGACAAGCAATGTAAAACATATTGGATACACCAATGAAGCTATTATGGGACAAATGACATGAAGGGATATTAGGAAAGTATGATGTTCACTCATCCTGAAAATCAGGACAGTCTATGAGGTGCATGATAGCTAAGGGTACACTGCAGTGGATCAGGCATGACAGCAGATCTCATCGAAACTTAAAATTCTTAACAGTTTGGAGAATGTTAATCCAGGCAATTTCTTCAAAATGTCAGTTTGTCGTAACACGAACAAGGAGCTACTAAGCTACTCTATCATTTTGAGATGCATTTTATTGTCTCAATAAACGTACTTAAACTTTAGTGAAAGTTGGCACTCTGCCTTTAAATGCATTGCTTTAATTATAATTTAATTCATCCTACATTGCTAGAATACGGTAATAATTAAAGTATTATGAGGTTACATTATATAAATGTTAGCTAATGTAGTTAAAGGAAAGTGAAGAAATTGTAGACTCAATTAAGGAATCAGCTGAGAAGTGTATTAAATCCGGATCTCACGGTAACTAAAGAACCTAACAAAGAGTCATTCGGTCCACCCTACAGACATGCTAGACAGTCCCAAGAGTATTCTAGTTTATGTGGATAAAGCGCGAGTTGCACCGTTTTGTGTATACTTTGTTTTTGGAAATTTAAGGGGCTGAATAGTCTCTTAAAGTGACGCTGGAGTTAACCCGCGGGGGACAGACAGATTCTCGCCTGGGGCGACGACACCAGCCGTTGTAACTCGTCCTACACAAGTTACAATGAGAAATTCGACTGGAGGAAGAGGTGGACGATAGCTAATCAGCAGGTGACCTGACACCACGTCACGGGCGAGCTCCAGGGCACTCTTAGACATCACTCACACTCCAGACGGCCGCCGGGAAGTATGTATGAGTTTGTGCTCTTAAGATTTGTCGAGGATATTCAATCCCCAACAGTGACGATATTCACCGACGGTCAGTGAAGTTTACCTGTCGATTTGAAGGACTACATTGTGAGCAGAGACGGTGCAAGAGCTGAGACATCAACCAGTGACAGTGGTGGTGGAGGCTGTGTATAGTGATTGTAGCTTAAATGTTTGTCTTAAGCCATTGCCAAATGCCAAAAGGTACATAGACGGGTTGGCCTTGGAAGCAGCCCGTCCAGAGACAGCATAGTTAACGAAAGAGTTGAGGCTCCCGAGGTGTGTTTTGGTAGGGCTCCGGGGGCGTGTTTTGGTAGGGCTCGGGGGGCGTGTTTTGGTAGGGCTCGGGGGGCGTGTTTTGGTAGGGCTCGGGGGGCGTGTTTTGGTAGGGCTCCGGGGAGCGTGTTTTGGTAGGGCTCGGGGGGCGTGTTTTGGTAGGGCTCGGGGGCGTGTTTTGGTAGGGCTCGGGGGGCGTGTTTTGGTAGGGCTCGGGGGGCGTGTTTTGGTAGGGCTCCGGGGGCGTGTTTTGGTAGGGCTCGGGGGGCGTGTTTTGGTAGGGCTCGGGGGGCGTGTTTTGGTAGGGCTCGGGGGGCGTGTTTTGGTAGGGCTCCGGGGGCGTGTTTTGGTAGGGCTCGGGGGGCGTGTTTTGGTAGGGCTCGGGGGGCGTGTTTTGGTAGGGCTCGGGGGGCGTGTTTTGGTAGGGCTCCGGGGGCGTGTTTTGGTAGGGCTCGGGGGGCGTGTTTTGGTAGGGCTCGGGGGGCGTGTTTTGGTAGGGCTCGGGGGCGTGTTTTGGTAGGGCTCCGGGGGCGTGTTTTGGTAGGGCTCGGGGGGCGTGTTTTGGTAGGGCTCGGGGGGCGTGTTTTGGTAGGGCTCGGGGGGCGTGTTTTGGTAGGGCTCGGGGGGCGTGTTTTGGTAGGGCTCGGGGGGCGTGTTTTGGTAGGGCTCGGGGGGCGTGTTTTGGTAGGGCTCGGGGGGCGTGTTTTGGTAGGGCTCCGGGGAGCGTGTTTTGGTAGGGCTCGGGGGCGTGTTTTGGTAGGGCTCGGGGGGCGTGTTTTGGTAGGGCTCGGGGGGCGTGTTTTGGTAGGGCTCGGGGGGCGTGTTTTGGTAGGGCTCCGGGGGGCGTGTTTTGGTAGGGCTCGGGGGGCGTGTTTTGGTAGGGCTCCGGGGAGCGTGTTTTGGTAGGGCTCCGGGGGGCGTGTTTTGGTAGGGCTCGGGGATGTTATATGGTAGGGTTTTAGTAGGGCTCGGGGATGTTATATGGTAAGGTTCGGGGGTGTTTTTAGGAAGGGCTCTAGGGTGTTTTTTTGGTATTGCTTTGGATGTTTGCAAGGCTTTAGTTACACAACTGGTTGGGCTCCAGGTACGTAAATGTTAGGCTCCAAGGTTGTGGGTGGTGTGGCTTTAGTAGTTTTATTAGTAGGCCTCCTGGGGGTGTTTTTGGGTAGGGCTGCATTTTTTTTTTTTTGTAGGGCTCCCGGGGGTAGGACTCTTGGCGGTGTATGCTAGAGCTCCAGGTACATAACTGGGCAACGGTAAAGAAGTACAGGTATACTAAATCCTGTGGATAACAGAAATGGGAATTAAGGTGTCCTGAGGATGAAGTTGAGGTGTATTAAGGACCTGCGGGGAAATTATAAGGGGTTTCTGTGGAAAAATCACGGATTCCCATGGTCAACGTGATTGAAATAGAAATGTTTATTGAGGTAAAATGCTTACAAAGGGCTGAGGTAGCTCAAACTATTCTCACCCCGTTCAGTACAACGTGTTCATACATATATATAGACGCATCACAAACAATAAACATATTACCAAACATCAACGTGATGATTGTGACGAGGACGTTAGGTGGGTCCAGCACCTGCATGTAGTACGTGGGTAGAAATAGCCTAAGCTACTCTACCCTTTCAAGATGTATTTCATTTTCTCAATAAACTTACTTGAACTTGCACACAGTAGTCCTGCGAATAAATAAGGCGGGCCAAAGGAAGGATTATGTAGACTCTGTGGAAGGAATAAATTGGGTGCTGAGGGTGGATTGAGGAGTCTCATGGATAAGAATCAGTGGACCTCAGGACAAAATATGGATGTCAGTGGTGTAGGCGTACAGCGAAATAATATAGGGAATGCTTGTACAACTTCAGTAAAAGGTGTCCTTAGGAGTACTGGGAGCTCCCTTAAGCATCATATAACACAAACAAGGAGCAACGGTTTCAAGCTTAAGCCACAATGTAGGACAGAACAGATGCTTTTTCATCCACAGAGTTATTAACCCTCTGGGTAAGTTTTGAGTTAGTTTAAGCGTTTCTCCCACATCTTGCCCGCAACGCTGTACGTATTAGTGGCTTTAGGCATAGTATGTACTAGCTCTATCTAGAAATCCAACATTCTGCTTGTAACTCATCTTGTATGTATGTACTTTTACCTGAATAAACATTAATTTATTTATTTATATAACCCATGGAACCGCCTACCCGCCGAAGTCGTAACTGCCAAAACTGCTGAATTTCAAAATATACATGAAAAAGATCGTAAAGGCAAATGGGGGGGGGGGACCTTCGACTAGCCGCCGGCTTCCTGTCCTTGTCGAGGCCACAAGGGTTAATAGCCTTGGGTATATCATGTAAAGCATCTTCGCGGAACGTATAAAACGGGCTCGCATGTGTATGTGCAGAGTTACAGGACAGGGTACATAGGAGCATGAGGCACGGGAGGGCGTGAAGACGCTGTACGGACAAGGTGGGAGCACATAGGTGCAGGGCACTGGCATACTGGAGGGGCATTGGCAGCCCACGGGGCGGGGGCTGCGAGGGGCGCGCTAGGTGTGGGAAAACGCAGGAGGGACAGACGTGCCTCAGGGGCGGAAGATAATATTAAGATGAAGCGCTATTTGCTGGGGGCACTGGGACGTGCTAAGGTCGAGCACTGCGTGGGGGGAGTGTATGAGGGGGCTCGTGGACGTCGGGGAGAACATAAGGAACAGGGATGCATAAGGTGACCATTTGGTTTGGGAGACATCTCCCGTCACGTAGGGTGCAGTCGCGCCTCCCACAGATCTCTAGTATCATTTCTTGATACTGGTAATGGCTCAAAAGGGCCACCACTTACGGGCTATTCATGCCCGTGCCACCTTTTGGGTGGCTTAATCCTCATCAATCATAGGGGAGTGTGAGAAGTGCAGGGTGTGGGGGAGGGTAGGAGCCCAAGAGAGAGGGGAAGGGGCGTTGCTTCATGAAGAGTGTTAATACCAGTCATGAGCCGTAAGCGCCCAATGAACCCAGAGACCCTCTGGCTAAAATTATTTGACATTGAAATTCCTAGCATATAGCTCCAGGAGTATGTAAATTAATATTTATATGCATTAAATGGCCTTCCAAAGTGCTTTATGGATATGAACATCATATATTGTCTAACAAAGTAATTACTTAATAACTGAATAAAGTAATTAAGTTGTTTTAATCATACATGCTAAATGAGGTTTTATTATTATTATTATTAAAAATCCTAGGGATAGATAACAATATGCTATTACTCTATTATATTTGAAGGATTACAGAGCATAAGTCACCTAATATCCTCTTCTCACAGTAGATGATGGTTGGCCGTAAGGTGCTGTCATTACACATCAGCATAACGGTTATACAGTTAGAGAAATGTCAAACTCAAGAATTTGGCATACATCTTACAAGTTGAACTCTTGACTATTCTTACAGCAGTCAAAATTATTGAAACTACTGCAGTGGACAGCTTAATTGTCTCGGATTCCCCTTTCTTCATTATTGGTTCTAAATATCTTAATAAAATTAATTGTAATTCAAATTGTTGCTGGTCATATAGACTATTTTTTTTATATGCATACTTTGTTTATATATGCATTTGTACACGGAACGTACAAATTTATTGTCCGAAATGGTAGAAATACGTGCGTTGGATCCGTCTTGTGTACCTGTCTCAGACCCTGTTGGAATATAACCAGTCTGTCAATCGGGTCGACCCAAGTGTTGCGTTTCCAAAAGGGTCGCCCATGTTGGAATCGGTGAACGCCCTAGTAATATTGTTGAAAACGTCTTAATAACTTATTAAACCAAAGGTCTTTTTATGTCAGAAGAACGGCAAAAACTGGATCTATATATGAAAACTCTTTCAGGACAAAATTTAAAGTAAAACTAGATTATGTAAAACTAGATTAAAGTAAATTTATGTTTCTATCTTTCTTGAGACGTATAAAAATCTTACGTTTATTAACGATTCTGCGTGAAATAAGCATTGTTCTGAGATGAATATTGCGGATTTCCGGCTCTACGACCGATGAAAAATGCAACTTTTATATAACTACAAATATCTTTAGTTTTACTTTAAATTTTGTCCTGAAAGAGTTTTCATATATAGATCCAGTTTCTGCCTTTCTTCTGACATAAAAAGACCTTTGGTTTAATAAGTTATTAAGATGTTTTCAACAATATTACTAGGGCGTTCACCGATTCTAACATGGGCGACCCTTTTGGAAACGCAACACATGGGTTGACCTGATTGATATATGGGTCAGATTCCATTAAGGTTCGGAACATACCCAAGTGTTCCGCTGGCAGCCGTACCCTGCAGCTGTAGCCATACTAGTCGTACCCTCCTCGCACGACGCCCCCGGGAGGAGAGGGGATAGCTCCTGCTGTGTGTAGCCATGAATCGCCTGCTGTGTCACTGCAGGGGTTGGCTTGGGCCTCAGACCAAGCCTGGGAGGCTGCTGGGTCAACCGGGGGTCCACCTCTGCAGGCGCCGCCTCCTTCAGGGGGTTCCCTTCCCCGTCAGAGGCTACAGGTCCCTCAGAGGTGTATATGGTTATAGACCCGAGCAGCCCAGGCCATTCTCATGTAAGTTGATGTATATTCTGTGATTATTTGTGCTTGTCTCCAATATACTGTGTGTGTCATTGCGGTATAAATGGTTGAAGATGTTGGTTGAATGAGGGTCTCGGGCCACTTGTGTGTGTAGGTATATATATATATTTACTAAATTCGTAAATATGAATGTATGGCTGGCTTTACCCTAGAGACAATCAGTAGTGTCCCAAACCTCTTCTATGGCAGTCATAGATAAATGTCATTAGTGGGCCACCATCTCTAGTTACTCCAGCCCATTTGTAAACAAGTGCAGTGCTTTCTCCATTATGTGGCTCTGTAACCCTTTCCATTACCGCCCACAGGATGGGTATGGGGTGCATAATAAATGAACTAAACTAAACTATCTTAAGGGTATTTGGGCAAGCCCAAACATAGCCTGGCTGCGAGTGTAAAGCCTGTTTGAAAGCAGCCATATACAAACCATTGATTACAGTACACCTTTACCTAACTAAAGGAGCATACATACTATACCTTAGATAAAAGTCCAATGGCACTTACATCTAGTTGTGTTGACACTGTGTGAGGGCTTTAGAGCCCCACCTTGTATCAGGTGCCTCATGGCTTTAGGGTTCATTAATCCGGTCCACCCAGTGGTCATCAAGATTCAACACTGGCTGTTTCTTATCTCCAGTAAATTTAAGTCAGTTGAGTTTTGCTGGGTTCCCAGCCATGTTGGTGTCTCTTTAAATGAGCGTGCGGATGCTGCCACTAAGGAAGCTATCCGCACTTGTCCCATCTCCCATAAAGGTATTCCTTATTCCGACTTTTACCCAGTTATTCATGCCTCCATCCTTGCTTGCTGGCAGAGTTGTTGGTCTTCTGTTATTGGTAGCAAACTGCGTACTCTTAAGAGTCGTGTGTCCCAGTGACCTTCCTCCAACCACCGTCCTTGATAAAAATGAGTTCCCTGTTGGGTTATTTGTGGACCTGCGTAAAGCTTTTGACACTGTCAACCACCAAAACCTTCTTCTTAAATTACATCATTATGGAGTCAGAGGACACTCCCTGCAATACCTCAAATCCTACCTTACTGACAGGCTCCAGTATGTTTCTGTGAATAATACAATTTCTCCCACCCTACCCATCAACATTGGTGCTCCTCAGGGCAGCATACTTGGCCCTCTCCTCTTTCTCATCTACATTAATGACCTTCCAAATGTCTCCCAACACCTCAAACCAATTCTATTTGCTGACGACACAATCTTCATTTACTCCAGTCCTGACCCCCTTGCTCTAAATGCCACAGTAAATACTGAGCTAAATAAAGTGTTCATCTTTGGCTAACTGCCAACAAACTCACCCTTAACATTGACAAAACTTTCTATATTCTGTTTGGCAATAAATCCTCTAATCAAATAAATCTCAAAAGAAACAATACCCAAATTTGTAACAAATTAGATGGAAAATTCCTTGGCATTCTCATTGACCACAAGCTGAATTTCCAGGGACACATTCTAAATATATCAAAAAAAGTTTCAAAAACTGTGGGCATTCTTTCTAAGATCAGATATTATGTACCCCGCCCTGCCCTGGTGACTCTCTATTACTCCCTCATCTATCCATATCTCAACTATGGTATTTGTGCTTGGGGCTCTACTACCCAAAATCACTTACGTCCTCTAATTACTCAACACAAAGCTGCTATTAGGACAATATCCAACTCTGGCCCCAGACATCACTCGGTACCCCTACTCAAATCTCTGAATATGTTAGACATTAAGTCACTGCACATTCTCTCATGTGTATTATACATATATAAAACGCTAAACTGTAATGCCAATCCTGACCTCAAAAGCTTCATAGAAGGTTGTAACAGAACCCATGAGCACCACACCAAAAATAAATACAGTTTTGATATTCCTAGAGTACGACTTACTCAAACTAGAAATACTCTACAAATCAAGGGGCCCAGAATGTGGAATGACCTTCCCAACCATGTGAAAGACTGTACCTCTCTCAACCAGTTTAAGATAAAAATGAAGCTATACCTAATAAATTCCCTGTAACCTACCTTACCCCTCTATTGTCAACCAGTCTGTTTTTTTTAAAGAGCGCTGTTTGTCGACATAATTGTATTTGTGCTGCTTTTTCAGCTATGTTTTCATTTCTTGTTTTCATTTTACTCTTTATGCTCAATTAGTATTAAGCTTGTCATTTAAGTTTTTCATGCCGAAACGCTTTGCGTAATAGTGGCTTTAGGCATTGTATGTACTAGCTCTATCTATAAGTCCACCAATCTTTGTAAAAATTTCTTGTATGTATGTACCTTACCTAAATAAACATAAAAATAAATAAACATTTACCTACCTAAATAAACATTTATTTTATTTATTTAACTAGCGGTGGGAAACGGCTCTGGGTAGGTTACATATTGGCCATACCCGTTTAACTCATGGTCACTTAATGTAGCGCCGCCCTGCTCCTTATTGTCCAAATTGCATTGTCCCTCTTATGGTTGTGCATATCCTTGTTGAATATCCTGACTTCCAGGACGAGCGTGTCTTGTTTTCCGACTGTCCCCGCGGTCGCTTGTCCCTCGATAGAATTCTTGACGACTCGAATACTTTTGGTATCGTTCGCCTTATGCGTTTCTGTTCTGTTATTGGCATCCTTGGTGATATTTAGCGCCCTCTGATTATCCCGCACATTTGATGGTGCTACATAGCCTTCCCGGTTTGGTGCCTTTTTTTGATAATTACTTGTATCTGGTGCATTTGATACACCTCAGTTTCTTATAGTCATGGACATAATTTATTTTGTTGGGAACAGGAAGCCTGTATATATATATATAATTATAATATTTTTAATGTCGACAAATGCAAAACCATGTATGTGGGGCATAACAACCCATGCCACAACTACCTAATTAATAGCATTACATTACAGCAGATTGATGAAGAAAGGGACCTTGGAGTCAAAGTTCCACCACTCATTAAAAAGTTGCACAACAGGTGGGTGCAGCAGTCAGAAAAGCTAACCAAACTCTTCGGATAATCAAGCGAACATTTGACCACAGTATAAGGAAAAGTAGGTAATGGTTCAACTGTATAAATCTCTGGTACACTTAAATTACTGTATCCAAGCATGGAGACCTCATTTTTAGAAGGACATAGCTGCAACAAAAGTCATTCCAGAGCTAAGTCATCTCTCGTATCAGGAACGCTTGAAGGCCATAGGGCTAACAACATTGCAAACCAGGCATGACAGGGCAGATCTCACTGAAACTTTTAAAATACTGAACAAATTGGAGGTTGTTGATCCGGGCAATTTCTTCAAGAGGTCAGATGTAATACAAACAAGGAGCAACAGTTTCAAGCTCAACAAGCCACAATATAGGACTGAGAACATGAGATGCTTTTTTACCCACAGGGGTTATAAACCTATGGAATTGCCTACCTGCCAAAGCCATAACTGTTAAATTTTAAAATCCAACTGGAAAGTATCAGGACAAATGGAGGGGGAGCGACAAGCTGTCTGCTTCTTGTCCATGTCTAGGCTACTAGTGTTCGTGGCCCTCTGGTAAATTAATGCATATTAGCTATCTATAGCCACTATATTTTTATATAGTTTTCTTTTGTCCTCAGTACCAGAAGATGTCATACAACGAAGAGCAGAAGAGAGTAATATTTTCAGATTCATCAGTGCTTATCGGGAATTTGGACACCTCAAAGCTGATGTCAACCCTTTACAACCAAATGATAGGCAAGTTTGGAATGCTTCTGTACCTTGAATTATCATACTAATCTTACGACACTACCATCACAGTTCATCAGTTATCTGATGTATTTTTCATACATCACTTACCAGTGTATCCAATAAATTTGTTTAATACTGTATATCAGCTTTTCTGCATTTTACCTCTTAATTTTTGCTGTATTATATTTTCAGTTTAGTTGAATTCAGTCTTTGCTGAAATACATAAATGATGTTTCCAATTAATTTTGATACGTTATTAATCGTGTTGTATTTTTTTGGTTAATCTTAAAGCTAAGAAAATCATTGTTTTATAGTATATAAAATATTTGCACTAATTAAGAAATTTATAAAAGCACAATAAATTTTCAACTAATTCATATATAGTACTGTCTATATAAAAAAGAATGCTTGTCTGTGTGAAGTAGGCCAGATGTTTGGGGCTAGTCTCCCTGAATTTTCATACATGGAAGATGGGGAGAGGGAGTATCATAAGCTAGATGGGGTTGGCCCAAGTTTCATGCTTTAAGAATTATCTGTATATTAACTAGATATGTGTGCTAAGAAAAAGAGGTTCATAATGACTCTTAACCCTGACTTCTGAGCTATAACATTCAAGTACTTCAAATCAAAGTGCTTTACCCGTCAATTTTCATGGTCTGAAATAAACTTGGGATTGTGTTTTTGGTAGTTTGATGCAACTGCTGTTTACTTAAGTGAAATGGAGAAAGGGGGAAAAGGAAGTAGCTGGGAAAGGGGTGGGGGTAGGGGAATAGAGGGGATGGGGTGGAGGGTGGAAAGTTCAGGAGAGGGGAAATAATGATGGGGGGAGGGGGAGGAGAGATGGAGGGAGAAATGTGGAAAGGCAGGCGATTGGGTGAGAGAGGGGTAGTAGTGGGAGAAACCTGAGTGCACCCGGGTACTAAATCTAGTAGCACTGTGCCTAAATAACCATCACCCATTTCCTTAATTTCATTGAATGTTTTATTATTATTACATTCATCACTTATTATTATTATTACTGTATTATTATTATTATTATTATTATTAAAAGTATTATTGTGTAAGCAAGTTTGCCTTATATGGCAGCCAGTGAAAAGATTCATTAGGAGTTATTCAGAGTGGCCTTACTTTATTTCCATAGGCTGGTGCCTGAGTTAGAGCCTGAACTGTATGGTCTTAGTGCTGACAAAACTTACAAAATTAAAAGCCTAATAACTGGGTACGATGAGCCCTGCACATTAGAACAGCTGCGAGATATTCTACAAGAACAGTATTGCGGACATATTGGTGTGGAGTTTTCCTATTTGCCAGTAAGTTGATATTTGTCTTGACTGTTATTAAGTGCACACTTTAACCCTTAGTACAACTTATATCGTATAACATACATGGATTAACGAAATTAAAAGTGCTGCTTGCTTCATACAAGTGCTTCTTGAGAGATTAGAGTGAGTAACTTCAATGAGTGATTAAAGCGCTTCTTACTTCATATGATGTAATAAACCTTTATTACTGTAATTAGAATAATTTTGAAATGCGGCATCTTCGTGCCTGAGAATGTTTATATAAAATGTTATGTTTTAGACCCATTTTGGTATTTTCTTCAGTCACCATATTTAGTTTACATTTTCTCAATCTATCAAGAAAATAAAACTTAGAAATATGGGATAACTCTTGATCCAAATTTTAGGAAGCGATGAAGATTTAGAAATTGAATTACTGTATTGTAAAGTGAACTGTACAGTACTGTATATCCAAGGTAGTACAGTACTGTATTTATATAACTAATTACATATTTTATCAGGATTTTGCTATTTGTTAATCATTATTTGCTATAAAGAAACTTTCTTATGCAGAAATCTTAAAATGGGTTTTTATGGGTGTGACCAATTGGCAGAATTTGTGCAATGCAAGAGTAATACCTTATCAGATTTCACATGTACAATGGTTTCCAGAACACAGTTCATTAATAGTTTTTCAACAGGATCTCCAATTACTGTACTGCTGTGTGCATAGGCACAGGGTCTCTGGTGTTTGACCCGGCCTAGGGATTGAACTTAGGTTCCGTGGTTTGTGAAGCAAGCATTTAGCTACTAAACAATAGGTATGAGAAACAGACTTGTAGGAAGGCAATTAGTTAATATTTTAGGTCCTAGGTTCTCAAATTGAGGTTTTCAAGGTTCATTTAGGTGATCCATGGTAAGTTTAATTATAAAGAGTACAGTAAATTGCAAGGCTGTCATAAGAGTAGTTTTCTTGGTAGGCGGATTGAGGTATGAACTCCATTTGTTCCAGTGGGGTTCAACGTTGTCCAAACCCTGTCATGATAGCTGTGACCAAGGTGGGGACCATGGCTCTGGCTTTGGGATCAGTCAAGATGCCACTCGGAAAGGATTATTTCATTCTATTTAACATTCTGATTTTCTTTTCTTTTAAATTTTTATTTGTAAGGTTTCATTCACCAGTCAACTTTAAGTAAAACAGAAAGGAATAGATTTAATAAATTTCTTAGTTATTTTTAACTACTGTACAGTATACTCAAATCTTAATTTTCATTGTTCAGACTTTAGAAGAGAGAGAGTGGTTTGCAACAGCCTTTGAAACTATAAACAAGGAAGCTCTATCCACTGAAGAACGCACCAGTCTGGCTGGAGACTTGTTAAGATCTCAGGCCTTCGACAATTTTTTGGCCACCAAGTTTCAGAGTGTCAAGAGGTATGGAGGAGAGGGAGCCGAGTCCTTGGTTATCTTCTTTACGGAAACTTTTAAGAAACTTGCACAAGGTTGGTTATAAAATTTGTGTACAGTATTCTAATTATATTAACATGCTCTATATTTACTCCATTCCCACCTTAATAGGCTGGGGAAGCATCATCCTGGAGAGAAAAGGGAACAATATCCAGACATTTATAAATGTTTACAAATATCATTTTAATTTTATTAGTTTATATTACAGTACTAATTTGTTGATTAAAATTCAATAAAAATAATATGATGTACTGATTACTAGAAATGTAAATATTTTTTTAGATTATTGTGTTAGTTTCAGAATTAGTCATGATTTTCATTTTGTTAGAGCTTTTTAAATTTTGTTGATATAAATGTAATGATGTATGCAACGTCTTTATCTTAGTAATCCACATACTGTATAGTGCTACAAAATTTCTAAATAGTTTAGTTAATATTGTTTTATAAATTGTTACAATCAGTATTTGCCAAATAGTCCTTTGACTTGACATAGATCACATTCAAGTAAAAAATGTCCATATTCCTTTAATTCAAAATTTTAAATTATTTCAATATTATATGTAGTTACTGGTACACCTTTTCACCCATACATTTCATTCATTTGTAGGACAAAACTATATTTACTGATGACTGTGCAATAGTTTGTGGTTCTTTGAAAATTAAAACAAAATTATGCATTAATTGTTCTTAACTCTTATCATTCGAGTTTTCTTTTTGTAGATGGGGTTGAACAAGCAGTGTTAGCCATGGCCCATCGTGGACGGCTTAATCTCCTGACTGGAGTTCTGCAGTACCCACCAGTTGTTATGTTTCAGAAGATGAAGGGCTTGCCAGAGTTTCCTCCTGATGTGGAGTTTACTGGGGATGTTCTTTCACATTTAGGTAGGTAGTCAAATATATGTGCTAAGTTATTTTCTAGAAGTTATTACAGTACTATACTGCAATATCCTGTTAATGTATATAATAACTGTGTCAGGAAGTACCCCACGTACTCTACTTCCTGACACAAAGGGCCTGTCTTTGTTCATCGAGGAAGATCAATAGGAAGCGCAGGAGCCAGAGTTGAAGACAGTATGTTCAGGCACTCTTCATAAAACTCAAAGAATAACTTTGGAACTACCTAAATGGTTGCTTTGAAAAGGAAAACAACATACATGAACTAAACAGGTGGAAGGCCTTGCCTATGCTGCAGAACATGTGCAGAAGAATGCTGCAAGCTTCAAATGTGATAAGAGAACAGGCCTCATGCACAATTTTCTTGCATATTGCAGAAACAAAACTTTGAATTGGCAAACTTCCAAAAATCATGAGCTTGAGCATCCACATATAGTTTGCTTAAGTTTATCAATCTTCAAATAAACTGGGTAAATGCATGTTACATTTTAAAATGGCCTCTCTGATGAGAGAGGATTCTTCAAAGTTCCAAAATGATACTTCAAAGTGGTGACAGAACAAAGTGAATGAGGGCGAAGTCCTCAATGTATGAACCATAATATAATTATAATAGAGCAATGACAAACATTTATTTACATTTTTGGGCAGGAATGAAGGATTTAGATGAAATCGGACAAATATACAGTAATGACTTTAACAACGAAATCTATCAATTAAGCAGAATAACATCTGAAGAACCAAATATGGGAGAGGAAGGAAATTGATGTGCTTTGAACAATAAGAAATCAAGTTTAGTGCAGTATATTATTTACAAAATACAGTACACGTGTATATTGTATTTTTCAAAAGACTAAGTGGGCTCCAATGCATTATCGAAAGGGCAAATATTAAAGGAGGCCGTGTTAAATTTAATTATGATCCATACAGACAGAAAAACATGCACACTCACTCACTCATTCAGACACCTGAGGGGACAGTGCTTGGGATTCGTAGTCCTAAGGGGTCCAGGTTCGATCCCCGGCGGAGGCGGAAACAAATGAGCAGTTTCTTTCACCCTGATGTCCTGTTCACCTAGCAGTAAATAGGTACCTGGGAGTTGGACAGCTGCTACGGGCTGCTTCCTGGGTGTGTGTGTGTGTGTGAAAAAAGAAAATCAGTTGATTGATTGACAGTTGAGGGGCAGGCCCAAAGAGCCAGAGCTCAACCCCCGCAAGCACAAAGTACACAATACACAAAGTACTGGTGGTGAGTACACAAAGAAAAATGTGATATGATCAACACTTGCAAAATAATAATGGAAATTGATCAAATTGACATAGGAATTCCTGAAACCTGCAACCTTAAGTGCAAGAGGTCACAGATTTAAGCTGAGTGGAACAAGTTAAGTGAGAAGATAGTGGAGGCCAAAACCGTCAGTTGTTTCAAAGCGTTATATGACAGAGTACTGGGAAGATGGGACACCACGAGTGTAGCTCTCATCCTATAACTACACTTAGATAATTACACATGTTTCAAAGTTAAAAACCTTTGCAAGAATGCCATGTCTCCCTCATACTTATCACCTAGAAGAATTCCTGTGTGTCTTGATAAGAATCTTCAACTTTCTTCTTTCTCTTTTAGCTTTGAGGAACCTCCTTTGGTGGTTTTCTCTGGAATATTTTCAGCTTTGGGAGCTTGCAATCCTTCTGCCTCATTTCTTGGGCTCTTTTCTGGCATGTCCAACATTGGTAGGAGAAGGGACATTTTAAAAGATCACTGTTGCACTGATACAGAATGGTGACCAACCTGTTTGGACATGATTATACCCTTGAGACCCATATTAAATATTAATTTACACTTTAAGCCTGATTATTTTAGCTAGTTAAACCTGCATGTGCACCTAGTTTCTCCAAAAATTTCAGAAGTCCTTAATTAAGTGTATCACCCTTACTGAAAGTTTCGTATATAAATGGATAGATGTATTATGTAGTTTTGTGTAATGTGAAAATTATATTTAAATAACTGTTTTACTTCCATTTTGTTCCATACTTTTTTATATTTTGTTTTTCAATTTTTTTGTAAGGTACTTCAATCTGCACACTTTTTGCACATTATTATGTAGCACTGTTGATAGTTTGAGATTTCTTTTCCACTTTTGTTTGTTGCAGTTAGCTCAGTAGACTTAGAGATGGGGGAACAAGCCTTGCACGTCACAATGCTACCCAACCCATCCCACCTAGAAGCTGTGAATCCTGTGGCTTGTGGAAAAACTCGTGCAAGGCAGAGGAGTTTAGGTGAAGGTTGCTATTCCTCTGACGTTTCTTCTCAGCATGCCGATAAGGTTGTTTGTATTCAGGTGAGAAGATAAACTAAATGAAAAGGAAATAATACATTGCCTACATTTTTTAAAATTTTATCAGAGAGAGTATGTTTTTTTGTATGGATTTGTACACAATATTCTACACTGTTTAGCTATGACATATAATGTAATTATTTTTTCTGAGCACATGTATATTGAAAATGCATGTGCTTTGAATTATGCTGTAGTAATTATTGTGTATTACAAAGACATGGCAACTATGTCACAAAAACTAGTGTCCCCTGCAGAGTGATTAAAAAGTGCTGGGAGTCGATAGAAAATGTATTAGGTCACCCTAGAGACACTTGAGAAACTCTGCAATCTAAACTCAAGCTCAAATACTACAGATTTCTTGTGACATTACCAGAATGACAATTGCTGGGCTTGGCGGCTGAGTGGACAGCGCTCAGAATTCGTAGTTCTAAGGTTCCGGGTTCAATCCGTGGCGAGGGCGGAAACAAATAGGCAGGGTTTCCTTCACCCTGATGCATCTGTTTGCCTAGCAGTAAATAGGTACCTGGGAGTTGGACAGCTACTACGGGCTGCTTCTTGGGGATGTGTAACAAAAAGGAGGTCTGGTCGATGACCGGGCCGCAGGGACACTAAACCCCGAAATCATCTCAAAATAACCTCAAGATAAGATAGCCTGTATTGCCTAATGACTAATCCTAGTAAACACACCCTTCACCTTACAACTATCCAGAATTTGTTTTAGTCAGGTGTCATGTGGGAATTGATCCCCTAGATGAATGGTGGCCATTTTGTTCCCAAGGACAAGTGTTCATATTGCTTTAGAATTGTGCTTCGGTTACTTAGCTTTGAGCTTTAGTAAACTGACTGTCAGGGCCGTTGGTCAATTGTGTTCATAGCTTGTGTTCCAGTGTAGCATACTCTGATTTGAGATTGCTCTGTTCTGAATCCCAGTTGGGTGTGTAGGGCAAATTCCTAGGGACATTATAGGATCCGAGTTAAGCTAGTTACCTTTTCTCTGCTGTTCTGGGCATTCAAATATGAGTATAGGTTGCAGCAAAATTGTATTTTGGTTTGATTTGCACTTGCAGAGGTCAGCTGGGTGTTATTGCTTCAGGCATTTGCCCCCTTTCTTTCAGATCTGTGGCATCAGTTCTGATTACTGTACGATACTCTACCTCGGGGTGTGGCAGGATATGCTGCTTAGAAACAAGATTTTCATCAGCTTAAAACCTGTCTTTTTAATTATATATTTAGTATTTCCCAATTTCTTTCATTCATGGAGAGGGGATGCAGTTGTCTAAGAGAAGAAAGGCAAGTGATGTAAAACAGGATAAATGTGTTGTCTGTAACAGCTGTCCATTCTTAGTATTTTGCCCATCCAGCAGCATTACAAAAGGGTCAGTGCCACCACCTTTTCTCTTAATAGTATCTCGGCTGCTTTTTTTAATTAGGTGCAAAGTGCTCCTCATGAGTTGCCATTGGTAAAATGTAATATATTCTTTTCCTTCTAATACAGTTCTTTTGTTCAGCCATATTCACTCCAACTTATGTTGTTGTTGTTCAATCGGAATGTCTTTTTCATCATGCACTCATTCACCATGTCTGCCCATCTTCTTGACCTTCGCTTCCTACCCTCAAGAGTTCTTCCAATACAGGTTTCTTTGCACTACTTTTATTACCCATTTGCTCAATGAAAATATTATCTTGGTATGCTATTTGTAATGTTATGTATCTCGCTAGACTACTCCACACCTGTGTGTGTCAGGAACGAATCGGTCAATTTAGCACCTCTGAATGTTGATTACTTGAAATATGTACTGTACTTGTGATTCTTTTGTGTTGCATGTTGATCTTGCATTAATGTAGGTAAGGCAGTTGCTTCATGTAGGTAAAGCAGTTGCTTCATGGTTTGTAATTTTCAATGCATATAAAAAATGAATAATGTTACCCCAGCAAAGATAAATAGAAAACTAACAAAGGTGATGAAATATGGTTCCTTCTATGATAGTTCCTTTATGATAGTTCCCTATGTGATAGTTTCAAAGTACATTCTCATGAAATAAATGAGTTTCTAGGAGCAGGTTTCAGACGAGCTGAGTAGGATAATAGCTCTTGCTTGCCGTTTCACTTGGTATGTCATTTGACAACCCTTATGAACCCTAGTTTTGGTTTACACACACACAAAAAAAAATGGAGAAAAATACATGTAAATAAAGATGGAGTGTATAAAAAGTGGAAACTCAAGATAAAAATGATATAAATTGTACACAATGCATCATTCAGAAATATACAATACTTGTTGATGGAAAGTGAAAAATTTAATTTGTTGTATTAATGGCCAAATAATAAATGTGTGTGAAACTTAAGTCAACAGGTACACCGCCTTGATATAGTGTAAGAGGATTTTAAATTGCTTTTCTTTTTCAGGTCCATGGAGATGCTGCATTGGCAGGGCAGGGAGTAATGCAGGAAACACTAGCACTGTCAAATGCTCCAAATTTTACCATTGGGGGAGCCTTGCATGTGTCCATTAATAATCAGGTACGTAATGTGTGTTCCAGTTAGTAACAAAATACTGAACAGTGCATGTAAAACCATAGCATCTGCACCATGTATGGAAACTGCATACTTGCGTCAACAGACTGATAGTTTTATGATTTGTCTGAATGATATCCAGTTGTTGGGTCTCTGATAACTTGGAGATTGAACGCCCACCTGCATGAAGCGAGACTGTCGCTTTGTGCAGGTCGCTACTTTGCTACTTCACTTCTCAGTGAAGTAGCACTTGTCTTTATAAGTATCTTACTAAGACAAGCAAGCAGTGAGCCACAACCAGGTCCTAGTGGTATACCTGCAAAATGTGAGAGAGTACCCCCATAAATGTCATCACTGTTGTTATAATGGAAGGGGACTTCCTTCCAAGCACTAACAACTTTCCTCCTACCCTCCTTCCTCACTGTGTTCCATACGCCAACAAGAATTCTCAATAAAGGATAGATAAACTTATACATACTGTAGTACAAAATATAAGTAGTAACATGTATAAAATATATTGTTAAGTTAATATTTTTGAGGGTGTGGAACGGATTAATTAAATTTAAATTATTTCTTTTGGGAAAATTCTGTTTCGGTTTTCAAATTTTTTGTTTTTGAATTTTCAGTTTTCGAACCACCTCTGGGAATGGATTAAATTAAAAAACGGAGGTACTACTGAACTGTATATTGTTATGTATCTACACACGTTATTTGAATTTTATGATATACATGTATCCTAATTAATTATTCCAAATGTTAGTTTTATTGTGTTACTGTGCCTTTTTCAGGTTGGCTATACAACCCCTGGAGAGCGCACTCGATCATCGACGTATTGTACAGACATCGCCAAAATGTGTGGTATGCCAGTCATACATGTAAATGGAGATGATCCAGAGGTTAGTATTGTACTATCTATTATTATTTTTGTGTGATGGTGGGATTTATGAGTAACACACGTGGGCATAGGTATTAACACCGAGTGCTTCAAATCAATATTGATTTATTTGCAGAAAAAATACTTGTCAGTAATAAATTAAATTGAAATAAATGAAGATTAATGTACTGATTTAGTGGCAAACGCCCAACGGAAAAGTGGCAAACGCCCAACGGAAAAGTGTCACATCTCCAAAAGGAGCATTGGGTATTTTTTGTTGGGCACTTGCCATTTTTTTGTTGGACATTTAGCATTGCTTTGTTGGCATTTTGACACTTCCTTCAAGCCCACCCAGCCTACAATGCCACCTCCCAGTGCCCAAGGACAAGTCAGAATAACAAAACCAAGATTAAGAACCAAGACAAACACCTGTCGCTAACCCACGGTGGATAGGCCACCAAACGTTTTATCCTCCTCGTTCCACATCAGTATCCTTTTCAAGAATTTCAACTCCCCATCCTTCTTCCCCCCCCCCCCCCCCTCCATCTTCTCCAAGCTCTTTGGACAGTGAGGCAAATGTAATGTGGAAGCATATGCATTTGTGCATAAATTTTGAAGTATGCATTCATGTATAGTCCTTATTTATGCTAAAGTATAGGATACAAGTATTAAAAATAGTTTAACTTGGCTTAAATACACAAACATGGTACTTACGAAGCAGATAGCCCAAATGCTGTACAAACTTGCACCGTGCTTCACGTATTACACCTTTCTTGACCTAAATCCCCTTTATAATGAGAAAGTTCTGCATTGCAGGTATAGTTTGGGAATAAGCTGTGTATGCTTGACCCCTGGATATGCTATGAAGAGGGCAGAGCATATCCAGGCTTGTTTATTCCATTTAAAATTGATACAATTAAAGTATGACATCCTGAATATTTTACCTCATGAAGACCATCTCTGCTCAACTTTCATCCACCAGGCTGTTGTCAGAGCTGCTCGTTTATCAGTCCAGTATCAAAGGAAATTCCGCCGAGATGTGTTTGTTGATTTGACATGCTGGCGTCGATGGGGACACAATGAACTGGATAATCCTTGGTTTACCAATCCTTTGATGTACAGCAACATAGACTCTCGCAGGTAATTACCCAAGTTATTTTATTTACCTAAGTGTGTTATATAGACTTTGCTAAACAATATTTTCAATTAATTCTTTCAGACATTTTTTTTTTTTTTAGTATTCATTTAAATAATATTTGGTTGTTTGATTTGTACAGTACTGTAATGATCTTGCAGCTTTTTGTTGGGTTTTGTGGATTACATGATACCTACTGAAGGCACACTTTAATACCTGTAATGCATTGCATCATAATACAGCTCTAATGTAAATATAATACCCTAATAATACTTAGAAATAAATACTTTGTGATATAATTAGTTTGCCTTTTGTGATGAGAGTATTCCACTCACTGATGATGATGATGGGGGTGAACTGTGCTTCACACTTATCACTTGTTTTATCGCCTGTTAGTGCCAACATGCTGCCACTAAAACAGGTTAGCTTACCATAACAAAACTTGCATTCCTCATTGAGATCTTTTTCTAAAAGATTTTTTTTGTACTTGGCTCTCGGCTTTGATGAAGTCTTACCTTGTGGTTATGTATGGTGTACTTTAATCTTTGATACTTCTCATATTTTGTTTATCTTCTTTGCCTTTGTGTAATGTAAGGAAAATACACAATCCAGTGAGGATTGACTACAAAAAAGCACATTCCAAAGGTTTGACTGGGCACACACACACCTCTTCTGAAATCAGGCCTGAGTGAGCAATTTATGGTGCTGTTTGGGTTCTCTGTCCTCATGATGTGTGTTTTGCAGCATCCCATGATGCAGTGGTTAGCACCCTCACCTAAGAAGCAAGAACCCTTAGTAGGGTGGTATGATTGGACACAACTTCTTTACTCCAGGCACCTGTACTCTCAGCAGTAAATGGTACCTAGATGTTAAATGACTGGTGGATTATGTTCTGGTAAAACAAGGTGCTGAATAACCTAATCATTTCCAGTAGCTGGCCTAAGGTCTAAATCCCAACATAAGAAAAATTACTGAGATTCTCTACTTGCAGGAGTGTGCCGGACACGTATGCTGATGCCTTGGTGACGGAAGGTGTACTTACCCGAGAAGTGGCTGTGAAAGTTGTAGCGGATCACTTGTCTTTTCTAGCTGAGCAGTTCAAACAAGTTGATTCTTATATTCCTAAGGTAATCTAATATTTGGTTTGATTCAGATATTTACCCTTTGCACATAGACATGCTACCACCTGTAGGGGCTCACTTTATGCTGTGACTGTATTATGGTTACAGTTTCAGATGTGAATAATTAGCTGTATTGGGGGCTCTTAACATTGTGAACTACAATTGTCACGTGATAACAACGATCAGACTGTACAGGATCTTGATCATTCACAACACTACAACCACCAATACAGCTCATTATTCACATCGGATATGTAGACATGATTTGAGCCGTTTCATTTGGAACCCCTAGTGTGATGTTAGTGCAGGGGATTTTATAAAATTATAAGTGAAATTTTAATATGAAATTTAATGACAGATTTTTCTTTTATTAATTTAGTATATATATAGACACATAGACAGACAGCATGTATGAATAATGAAAGAAGCTAATTTTCAAAATAATATAGAATAATTTTCATTAAAGTAGATAGATAAGTACAGTAACTATCTAAATATTAAAATAGTTTATATATAAAGCAATACCATGGAACACATAAATTTGTACTGTATCTATCAAATAGGTTGTCTGTCCAAGGTTGGAGGCCATGTGTCTGGGGCTAGCCTCATTAACCCCCTGCTCCCAACCTACTATGCCCCCCCCCTTCCTCTATACACCTACCAAAGTGGGTGTGTGGCAGGGGGAGGACTATAATTGGCAGATTGAAGTTGACCTCATTGCCCCCTTAAAGGAGAGTTGGCCCCCATGGCACAATGTTTTGGGGTCCACTTGGGCACCGCCGGGCACCCAAACTAGTGTATATACCACGTGTATATATATATATATACTGTACATACACATGCTAATGAATGCTTCGTAACTTGATTGTTCTTTCAGGCTCCACATTTAGAGAAGCAGTGGTCAGGATTTGTTCAGGCCCCGAGTGCCGTTGAAGTTTGGGATACTGGGGTGGATATTTCTTTGCTGAAGTATTTAGGAGCAAAATCTGTCTATGTACCTGAGGAATTTGTGAGTATGTACTGTTTTGTATTATATTTGTAATTTTCAGTTTATTTAATACTTCATAGTTATGTTCATGATTAGAAAAGTGGCTTGATTATAGGTACAGATGTAGCAGTGTTCATTTAACAGTAACAAGTCATGTGATAAATAATTTTTACATTTGTAGGAATTACATTTCAGTGGCTATTTGTCCTTCCATTCTTGTAGCATGTGTAGTTCCTCCTGTGACAAGCGCAGTCCTCTTGATTCATATTCTTTTCAGCAGTTTAGTTTAGCATCATCTGCAAATGTTGATATGTACAATTCTTTATTCTTTGGAAGTTACTTACTTAGATCAAGAATAGTAGGTGTCCAAGTACTGAACCCTGTGGGACCCCACTTACCGCCTCCATCCATCCATATTTCACTGCAACCCTTCTTATTTTTTTCTTTCCTTTTTGTTGGGTACTCTCTCATCCAGCCAGATATCTTACCAGTTATCTCTGTGTGCTTTTCCAATTTGTACAGTACAGTACAGTATACTAATCTTTTGTTGTGGACTGTGTGAGAAACTTTTTGGCAATTAAAGGAGAAGCACTCCACCCATCCTTCTCTGTCCTGCCCAATCCTCATAAATTTATTGTAAAACTTGATCAAGTTTTTAAGGCATGTATTTTCATTTTTCTCCAAACGTTTTTTCTCCAGTATTTTATAAGGTACACCCATTTGAAGTACAGTCTGTAGTTGAAGGCTTCATATCAGCATCTTTACTTGAATATGGCCTCTTATGTTTACAGTTGTCCAATCGACTTTGATAATGGTCCAGGACGGACCGAAACGTCGTCGTGTCATCTTCTGGTGTGTGGTTTGGTCATCATAAATGTTGTCCAAGTCTCAGAAACCACTCATGCACATTATGATTAGATCACAAGCTAAAGTTCAAGAAATATTAACCTAATTTTATCTCCTTTCAACAGAATGTCCATAAACAACTCAAGAAGTCTCACATTGACACTCGTCTTCATAAACTTAATGAAGGGCATGGCTTGGATTGGGCAACTGGGGAGGCATTAGCCATGGCTTCATTATTGCATCAAGGTATGTCTCATAACAATCATAACAAATGTTATGGATGTTTTGAGTGCCAGTATAGACTTTTTTCTGACTAATATGGAAAGCATGAGATTGTTTCCTTTTGGGGTGGGGGGGGGGAAATTATCATATTAAATAAATTTTGGTTTGCAACTAGAAAACCAGATCAAATGGAATCAGTATTTTCAGTAGCTTCCCCTCTACCAAAAATTATTGATGTGATACACATTAAAGTTCTTCATCTTGTTAGCTTGCCTGATGTCACATCTTAAAACATAATTTGCCTTCCACCACAAAGTTGCATCTCATTCTCTTTCCACTGCTCTCCGCTATTCTTCCACTACTGTATGCATTACTCCTACTCTCGAGAACTTCAGAGTTTTGTACTCCCTTTTATAAATTTGGTCTCTTAGTACTCACTATGTAGCAGCTTCCCAGTTTGTGTCTATTGCTAATCCATGAATAAAACTTTACTCATTTTTTTCTGTTCAACAGCCAGCTTGTGGAATAGACTGCCACTCTATACTTTCCTTGACACTAATGCTCTTTGTTTATTCAAGAACTGTCTGTGGAGCTTCAGTGTTAAATCATTGATATTCTTTCTTTTTCATTGTTGACCAAGCAACTTTGCCTTTAATTTTTCTGAAACATATAAGTAGTAAGTAAACATCTAAAAAGAATACAGAAAAAGAACTGTGACCCAACCAGTATTATTATACTAAATTGTTTACATACTTTGTGTTGATATACAGTATATAAAAAATTTAGCATGAATTAGTGTGTTGTAAGGCCATAGACTGCCAATAAAGAACCTAACTGATAATGTTTTAAGCAAAGTATTTAAACAGTAAAGTTCAGAATCTTTAAAGTTAAGTTTGAATTATTAAAGTCTTTAGTCCTATATTGCTAACTAATTGAATTTCCTCCCTGTAGGTTTCAACATACGCATTAGTGGTCAAGATGTGGGTCGGGGTACATTCTCTCATCGACACTGCATGTTGGTTGATCAAGTAACTGATGAAATGTATATTCCTCTCAACCATATGAGTGAAGAACAAGCTTGCTGTCTTGAGGTTGTCAATAGCATTCTATCTGAAGAAGCAGTACTGGGCTTTGAATACGGAATGTCAGTGGAAAGCCCTAACACACTCTGTATTTGGGAGGCACAGTTTGGAGATTTTTACAATGGTGCCCAAATTATGATTGATACATTTGTGTCCTCAGGAGAAAGTAAGTTTTTAAACGAGTAAGTGCTTCACATTTTCTCTAATTAAATTATACATATAAAATTATTCAAATTAATATAGTACAATCTACTAAGATATGCATCCACTTTTCCTGCAGGTACTTAAGTTTACATGGGCTTAATTCATTAATTTATTATCCCTGTTTCCCACTAACATGGGGTGAGGCAGCATCCTCCCAGAGAAAAAAAGGAGAATACAGTAATAATATGGATTCTGATATTGATTTCTTGGTTGTGGGCCAAAAGTTATGTTTTGGGTTATGCTTAGGCACATCCTGCCAAACACACGACGACACTACCACGTTGCTACAATGTTCGAAGAAGTCTTAACACTTCCTAACAAGTTGTAACAATCAATATAGCATGTTGTAACAAAGTTCTAATAAGTCATAAAAATGTTATACAACATTTTAGTTATACAACATACGATGTAACAACTTTATTATGAGTTGTAACAAATGGAAAATAGGGACAGTTACGTTTTGTGTTTGCAGGGATCTGGTCACTTTAACACAGACCATTTTGGTTTTTTTTAGGGTTAGAATTTGCCTTTAGCTTCTGTCTTGACTCCAGGCCATTTTCTCACATGTGTTGCTCTGAATCACAAGTAAAGTTTCTTTCGTTTGGAACAATGCGATGAGGCTTGGTGATGTGAACTACCATGTTATGGTAGTTCAAGTGTTGCCATTTGGTGGCAGGAATACATGGCAGACAAGCCAAACAAGTGCAGTGTTTGCTGAAGTGATACTTGGCACTCTTGAGTTGCCAATGAGGGCTTGTAAAGGCTTCCGAGTATTTTGTGTATAAATTGATCGTTATACAGCTTACTTAAGTTAGATGATTTCCTCCAGTCCTCCTATGCCCTGTAGGGGATGTTTCTCCTTGGTGTCAGTACCTCATATGCTTTGTATGATAGCACTATTTGCTTGCCATTCATAAGAAAATGTCACTGGGGGGTGGGGGGGGGGGGGGGACGGGGTCAGAGAGAACTCAGCGAGTGCTTGGAAATGCCCCATTCATATACAGTACACTTAAAACCTATTTTTAGCTCTTCCACTCAATTGCTCCCTTCAGCAAAAAAAAAAAAAAAAAATGGTCCCAGGACAAGTACTTAACTTGTACATGTACTTAATTATGGCATGAAGGCAATCTGAATCTGTGTTCTTTTTGGCATTGTCTTGCCGAGAGATTCAAGCAAGAGAATTCTGGCACTGTTATACAGTTGCAGGAGACTTTATCCATAGTTTCCCACCTTCTGTCAGGTTTGTTTTGTCTAATTACTTGACTACAAAACATTGTATAAAACTCTTGGCATGGTGATCTGCTTCACAGCCAACAGGTGTGTTTTTTCTTGAACACTGACGATTGTTTTCTTTGAAAGATGTTCTTGCAGCCTTTATTCTCTTACCATTAATTAAGATTCTTCAAGGATAAATTTGATCACAGATGTAACTTCAAGGATTCTTTGCTTATGTAGATCAATGTTTACAGGAAAGTGGCTGACACAGAGTGGTTTAGTGATGGTTCTGCCTCATGGCTATGATGGTGCAGGTCCAGATCACTCATCGTGTCACATAGAACGCTTCTTGCAAAACTGTGACTCAAGTGAGATTTCTCCAGATGGAGAAGATGTCAACTGGTGTATTGTAAATCCAACAACTCCTGCACAGTATTTCCATTTGCTCCGGAGACAGGTGAGTTCAGGGATGTAGCTACACTTGCACATACCTGCCAAGAAACCTATCTTGGTAATATTTTTGTCTTTTATAAAATGTTAATTTTTCCATAGTAAAAACTGGAATCATTGCAAGAAGCATGTATATATGGGTACTTTATTAGGTTTCTTGACAGGCGACTCAAAGAAACTGAACATATTCCCCTAATTTTCTCAATTAATGCTATCTTTGTATGTTTTTTTAAGCATGTGGTTTGGAATAACCTCTACTACATCCCTATTCAGTCTCTGAAAATTTTGTAAGTATTTATATTTAAAGATGCATTTATCCTTAGCTGAGCTTGCAAAAAGTAAACATGAATTTTTATAATAAAAACACAAAACTCAGCTGACAGCATCTGCTTTGCTTGTCTCCTCTTCAGCTGCTTTTCTGCAAGGAGATAACTGCAGAGCTAGCACTGAAAAAGCCATGGGCATCTGCTATAGTAGGTAATGGAGTAAATTCGAGCATCTGTGGAAATACTGTACTATAGTGTTGAGTTTTCTTTTATCAGTGCATTGAATGAGCATTTCACATGTGTGAAATGTAAAGTGGCGAAGATATTAAAATAACCAGATATATTTGGGAGCACGAGGGTTGAGTTTTAATTTGGTTTAATATCGATGCTTGTTCTTCTGGCTTCCTCAAGATGCTTTGCCATGTTTTTTATGTAGTCTACAAAAAAATTCATTGTGCTTGAAACAATCTTCCCAATTGGTCATCTCTTTGCTCAAAGTCTTCATTAATTTTTTTCTTCTCGTGCACTATGCTCCAGGGCCACAGTCTTGGAATTTGTTGTTTTTAAGGAACTGTAAAATGCTATTAGTTGATATCCTGCATACCCTAAAAATTGCAAACATTGCCACAATTCACATGGGAAGTAGTAAAACACTGATAAAAAGCTACAGGCTAGTTGCACAAATATCACACATAATTAAATCTTTGAGTGGGTAAGATGCTAACTTTACAGTTTTATGAAAAAAGGAGCTATTCAACCCACATCAAGATCTTTTAGAGCAGGAAGATCTTGTCTTTCTCAGTTACTTATTACAGGGAGTTCCTGCTTTATGAACATTTACCTTACGGACATCCATCTATACGAACATTCTTCCAGGTCCCCGTGTATCCCCTTCATGCTGAAAATCATTGTACTAATTCGCTGGAGCGTTGTGTTGAATGTTGCTGCAGCACGAATGTCCGTGCAGAAGACACATGGAGACAGTATTGTATGGGTAGGGTGGAGTGGGTTGGGGTGTAGGTTTGTGTGAGTGGGTAATACCCAGTGGCCTCAAGTTCTCACTGACCCACACAAAACATGATATGTACAAGACCATGATGTGTTTATAGGAGAAGGGAGGGGAGGCGTTTATTCGTGAGGCCAGTTACAAACTGCTTGACTGGCAAACTCTGGATGCATCATGAGGATATCAAGAACACAAGAGTCATACAAGGCAATGTGATCAGTAGCCTGCACTGCACTTTTTCTCCCCTCAAGAACACAAGAGTTCATAAAGTGATTGCAAGGCTCCAGGTACCTCATCCCAGGGTGTCTGAAGGGGTCTAATAACTGGGCATTTAGTAATGTTGTGAGTGAGATCATGACCCAGTTCCTGTTCACAGAGTTCAGATTTTGAACTTAATAAAATTACAACCTACTGGAGCAAGAGATAGAATAGGAATCATAAAATAAATAGAATGAAAAGTCAGGGTGCTCTAGGCACAATTAGAAAAATAAAGGGTACAGTAACAACAAAGGGTAAAGTGTAAACAACAAAGGGCTGTGACTCAACCTTCTGCCAGCAGTAGAAGCTTTAAAGAAGGAAGTGACAAACAGCTTCATATAACAGGCAGTCACCAGGGCAGGCTGTGATAGATGAACTATCAAAATCATCTACAGGCAGTCACATGTAAGAGTTTGAGTGCCTTTGTTGAAGCTGCTTATATTGCTTCTGTTGTCAAACCCTTTGCTCCAACAGTCTGCAACTGATGTACAGAAACGTCTTGAGGTTATCACAGACCTGTTTGCAATTGCTTTACCTCTTTTTATTGCAATCCACAAATTTGAGGTATCTTTTGTGAACCTCATAGTTCTTAGTTTCATCATCCAAGTAAACATAGTACAGAATAAACAGTTTGTTCTACATGCTTTGTGTCTATTCCTGGGAGCTTCTCAAGTTAAGTGTTGGGCAAGGGAAGTCTTGGGGGAGATGCACCAGGCCACATGCATGATTCTTAATGTTTTCACCAATGGGACAATACATTAGATAAGTGTAGTACAGCAGCTGTGAAATGAAATATATATTTTAATTATAAGACACTGAATTTTTACACTATTGATCATACTTTGTTATTCAAGTGGAAAAAGAAATATTAAGAATGGCATAGCACTCTTTGAGAGTGTCCATCAAAAATGTTGAAAGTTCTTGTAAATAAGAGTAAATTCAGTAATCATGAAAATCCATTTCTTTAGAAATAATGTCATTTGCAGTGGCTCCACAGTAGATACTCTTGATAAAGTATGACCCAGCACCACCACAGGGCTCAACTCTGTGCTGAAACAAGGAACCTCCACAGTGGAATGATGGTGTTCCATGAGGCTTTGGAAGGGATGTGCAGGTTGTGTGCTGTGAATGCTGCCATTGTGTGGTGGCGAGAGCAAGCATCAGTAATAATAGCTTTCGTTGCCTATAAATGTTGAATTGAATTTTGATACATGTTAATTGCCCTGGCATAATTTTTTAAGAAGGCTGTACTTTAACAAGCCGTGAAAACATGTTTTGTATGAAGTTGAGAGGTAAGTATCAAGAAGTTTACATTTTATAGTGAGATGTCTTTTTATTATATTTTTCTCACAGGTATTAAGGAACTACCGCAAACCTCTTATCGTTGCTGGTCCAAAGTCTATTCTTCGTCTGTCAGCTGCATCATCTAGCATAGAGGATATGGCTACTGGGACACACTTTCTACCTGTTATTGGTGAGTCAAGATCTATTTCTAGGAGGGACCACCTCATTGGTTTCCCAAGCTTACACACTAGTACAGTACCAGTCGCCTACTGGGAACCAGGACCAATATCTGGTTCACTCGAGTGAATCTGAGGATCAGATATCAACCCAAAACTAGGTTAAAATCCACACAAAAGTATAGGTGAAACAAAGCAGGGTATTGCTTGAAGGAAATTAGGTACTGTATCCCCAAGTAAACATGGCAAGTACTTGTTATCTTGGGGTAAATACCCTAGATCCCAGTAGGTGATTGATGGGTCTCAGAGCCTGGTTCATGGGGCGAAGGTGTGGATGTGCTAATGTATAAGCTTGAGAAGCTACTTGGGGAGGGAAGGGGGAGCTCTACAAAAGGACATTTCATTACATTCAACACGATTTTAAATTGTTAAAACAGTATCTGCAACTTTCTTTCATTATCCTGGCATCCAAAAATTTTTGTGGCATTAAAGTGTTCAGATTTGGAGTTACTCAGGTAAGCACTTTTTAAACCAAGAATTTTAATTTGTTGGGGAATTTTGGGGGTTATATTTATGCATGATTACAGATCCCAAGCACTCTGAAAGTCATCATGTGTTAAATTTGTGTTATGGAAAGTGAATGAAACATTAGCATGTTGAAGTAGGTGTTTTGTAGAGTAAATCGAGTAAAAAGTGAAATTTTGGCAGTCTCTGGACCCTAACTCTATTTTTTTTTCCCCCATGTATCCAAAATGTGGGACTGGCACAGTTTTTGTGGGAATATTACCCTCATACAAATTGAAGAACACCTGTACAATATTTAGTTCTTCTTTCAAAGCTTGTGCCTCCCATCCTATGAAAGTGGGAATTAGATAATGTATTTATGTATGTAAATATGCAAAAATGTGCTATATTATTTGCATTATAAAAATGGCAATAGTGAAAATAAAAAACTTGGTGGAATGGGATTCTCGTTGGTCCAGAATAAGTATGCTCCCATGTGTTCTGTTCTATTAATGCTACCCTGTATTAGAATGTGGTGACGTATACAGTAACAAAGGTCTTTGATTTATTAAGAATCTATCCTAAAATATATATAAAAAAATACAATGCTTTTGAACTGTAATTGTTTGCTTGTTTACATTTAAGAATATCTTAATTTTCTAGGTGACAAAGATGTGAACCCTGATAATGTGAAGAAAGTAATTTTTGTTAGTGGAAAACATTATTATGCTTTAGTGAATGAGAGAAAAGCCCGAGGCATCACGGACACTGCAATTATTCGGTTGGAGGGTCTCTGTCCATTCCCAACAAATGAGATAAATAGTGAATTACTTAAGTACAAGAAGGCCAAGAGTGAGTATCCCCAGTGTTAATTCTCTTTACCAAGAAATTCCTTTGTTATTCAATATTCTTATACGGTTGTACTTTAACCTAAACCTTCGTGTTTCCAATAATGCACTGAGCATGAAATGGCAAGTAATTACGAAAGATTCAATTCAATTGCATTATGAACTATTCCAGTTAAAGACTGCTGTTCTTGTAACAGTGGTGGTTGAAAAATGTCATGTGATATTGGATAATTTCTTGCTCCTATTTTGTGTGGTATGATCATTTTGATCAATGTTTCAAGATTTATTTGGTGATCATTATTTATTTATTTCCATAGAATTTGTTTGGTCGCAAGAGGAGCACTACAACATGGGGGCTTGGGTTTTTGTTCGGCCCCGATTTGAGAATTTATGTTCTACGAAGGTAATGCTTGATTGTTTTTATTCTTCATTACAGTACTGTATAGCTAATACAAATTCAAGTTACACTGCAGCACAGTTTATTTCATTTAGAATAATACTCCCAGCTTATCTACTCTTTGCATAAGTTTTTAAATAAGTACAAGTAATCAACTAAATATACAATTAATATTGTCACACCTTCCTTGCTGCCCCTCGGAAGCTCCCTGAACCAGAGCTTCTATGGAGTATTAAAAACTCTAAATGGGAAAGCATCCAATGGTCTGGCTCTGAAAGGAGTATTTCACTGTGTTTTATATAAACATTTTCCTTTGTAATAAGGATTTCTAATTAATTTTATATTCAAACTAGAGCTTCTCTCTTTGCAGCTGCAGTACATTGGTCGTGATGTATTAGGCGTGACAGCAGTTGGAGTTGGGCTAGTGCACAAACAGGAAATTCAAGATATAATGCACAAGACTTTTAGTGTCTGACCTATTAATACTCACATTCAGGTAACACCGTATACAAAATTCAAAACTTAACTCACGCTTCGATATTGCATATTGCAGCATCTGCTGTGAGTACTCGGAGCATAAGTAGTTTAAATATCATAAAAATCACATAAATTGTTGTGCAATATTTTGGTCTTAGTTTCATATAATTTGATTATACATATATTTGGAAAATACTGTATCTTAATTTTGTTGAAGCCTAAAACATTTCAGAGTAATTGCTGGATCATATGATGCTCCATTCCTTTGAATGCCAAGTGAATTGGAATGGAAATATTTAAGAAATACGCGTAAAGAAAAAATCAAGTAAAAAATGGTAAGAATGATTTTAAGTTGTATTACCTGGTATTAGCTGTTTGTGTGTGTGTGTGAGACTGGCTAGCTGACCAGCAAGAATGCCTGTTGCATAACATGATGCAATAAACCTATCCATCGATAGTTTCCTTTTTGCCATAGCAATCAATATTCCTACGTATTTGAATTTAAAAATACAGTATATATTATGCAGTATACTGTAGTGTTAAAGAAGTTTAAAACATGATTCATTATTATGCATCTGAAATAAATGTCGGCACAGTACAGACAGAAAGTAATCAAATAGCCATCAGTTTGGCCAGCATTACAGTGGGGGATATTTTAAGGCATTTTTATGGAACAAAAGTCCTATGGATTTGCAAATATGGTGCAGTATTTATGCTCATCGAACAAATTCCTTTCATTAGTGAGTTGTATATCCTAGGACAGTACAGTAGTAACTATTTTTTATTTATGCAATATCTTTAAAATATCTGATCCTTTTAATTTTATGCTAAAAACAGTTTCATATGGTCATAAAATTTAGTTTTTTTGATATTAGGTAGAGTAGCCTAATGACAAGTACAGTACAGTATTTTTTAGTGGGGATATTCTGGCTAATTATCTTTATTTCACACTAGTGACTTGAAACATAAAGACTTATGTAGGATCATAAAATTGAGTTGCATATTGATGTAGAGTAGTGCACTTGTAGAATCTCATGAAGTGATTTTAATATAAAATATAGTACAGTATTGTACTATATCCATGAATCATATGAGACCAGAAGGCATGGCAGGATATGCAGAATACCCCTGTTGAAAAGCAGAGGTGCAATAGGGACTGAGAGAGAGCTCTATCAACATCTGAGACCCGAGACTGTTCAACATGCTTCCACTACACATAAGGGGCATAACTGGCCGACCCCCTCACAGTGTTCAAGAGAGAACTGGATAAGCACCTCCAAAGAATACCTGATCAACCAGGCTGTGATTCATATGTCAGGTTGCGAGCAGCCGCGTCCAACAGCCTGGTTGACCAGTCCAGCAATGAGGGGCCTGGTTGTGGACCGGGCCACGGGGACGCTAAGTCCTGAAAACACCACAAGGTAACCCTCGAGGTAAGATATGAAGGTGAAAATGAAAGGGGGGGGGGGCAAGTATGTAGTTTTATCACCAAGCAAGATTGTCGTCCCACCAAAATACTGTACATCACATACCCACCAACACCCCTACATCCACTACTCTCTCTCAATCCACAACATGGCCCCAGTCCCTCCCCCCTTCTTCCATACACCCATACATTTACTCCCCTCCTTCCTCAAGAATTTGCATTTTTTTAAGAATTTTACAGTATAACTTGTAATGTGGGAATTCCTGGCATAGGGAACCAGGGATACTTTATTCAGTCATATACATCTGAGTGAAAGACTGCTATTGACTGTTCAGAAAAATTGGATTGGTGCTTCAAGTATTGTACAGTATTATCTAATTATAATGTTTCCAGTCAGCAAGTAGGCTTGGCAAATTATTTTTATAATATTCATGTTTGTATTCCTAAACATAAATTTTGTTAAATGTGGCATTACAGTATATTCAAATATTTGATAGCAGGTAGAGGTGAGGATTTGTTTGCTTTTAAGCAAATTGTTCTTTTTCAGGGTTAAATTTTAGTGCTATTAATTTCCCATGCCGACTTATCCTGAATTATATAGTACTGTACTAATTTTACAGTGTTTTGTTTTTCAATTTGTTATTGTTTTAACATTAATGATTTGGGAATATTTTTGTTCTTGATTTAGACGAGAATTATTATGGTCGACGATCTAAAATAAGACAGTTTTACCGTCTGAAAATATATTTATAACATGACCTAATAAAGTATATTATATATCTTGTATAGTAATTGTATCCTCTTATTTCAAGCTGATTTTTTAAAATTTGATGTATTAAACAAATTAAGCTGTTTTTCATAAACCAATTTGCATTTTATGTTTCTAAAATATAGGTTCTTATTACAAGTGCAGGAAAGATGGTGAAGTTTAGGGAAGGTGATGAAGGAAGGAAGGTTGTAGATGGGGAACCCAGCAGTGTTATTGCTGTTTTGGGGGAACCCAGGTAGTGTTGATGGTTATTACAGAGATGAAGGCAGTATTTAATTATGTAGGAGGATATCGATCCAAACTAATACTTCGAAAGGTCAGATGTGACATGAACAAGGAGTAATGGTTTCAAACTCAACAAGCCACAAATGCTGGATGGAGAACAGGAGATACTTTTTCACTTCATAGTTATAAACCCATGGAACTGCCTACTCGCTGAAGCTGTAAATGCCAAAACACTGCTGAATTTAACAAACCAGCTCAACAAAATCGTCAGGACAAATGGGATGACCTTCCACAAGCCACTGCCTTCCAGTCCTTGTTGAGGCCACTAGAGAGAGTGAGTGGCCCTCAGGTAAATTCAGGTTGTATGTAGTATAGATAGTGTTGCAAGTTGTGTGTAATGAATGGTTATAGCGATGGTTGTGAGTAGTTAAGATGGTTACAGTGAGGAAGATAGTGTGAAAAAAAAATGGTTAGTGATGATGGTAACTTGCAGTGAAAATTTATATAGTAATGATGCTCATATAGTGATGAAGATAATGGGTAGTGAAGATGTGATGCAGACTATGATCACAAATTCAGTATTACATTTTCTGAGACAGAGGGAAGGAGAGGGAGGGTTTGGGGAAAGAGAGAGGGGGGTGGGTAAATGGGAGGGGAAATATACCCAGGTGCAACTGGATAGCTACAGTGTGGAGGATAGCTGGGTGTGAAGTAGATTGTTAGTGATGGTGAGGAAAGGGAGGGGAGATGGGAAATAGACCTAGGCACATCAAGGAACCCCCCCCCTCCTTCTACACTCCCCAAGTATATAATATAGACAGCACAAAATATTCTCATTTACCTATCTTGAGGTTACCTTTCCATGATTTCAGGGTTCAACGGCCCCGCGGCCCGACCAGGCCTCCTCCCATAAGAGTGATGCAGTAATTGCCCACAGTAACAGGTTGGGCAACATTGTGTTTCATGCGGCAGGTCTATAGATATTGACTATCGGTACCAAATCCTGATAAGCACTACAGGTCAGCTATTATAAACTTCATAGATCCGCCGGCATGAGGTAAAGGCCATCTTTCCTATAGTTAAGATTAGCCCCATATAAATCTGTTAATAGGGAATTTTGTGATAATGAAGAGCGAAATAATAATCATGAGGATAATTGAGGTAGAGGGAGGAGAAAATACACTATACAATATCCGGAGCGATCACGTAAGAGATTAATTTTGATTTTGCAAAGTCATTGTGACCGGCAAATTATGAGATAGACAAAATTAACGGATTTTAACTTTAGATTTGTTAATCATTGAAAACATTTTCAGTTATTGGTCAGTGAAAACTTAGCAAGATGATATAGGCTACATACATGTAAAAACAGTATTCACAAATATTAAATCAACTGCACAATATAATAACAATGATAGCTGCCTATTAGTTAAATTATTTTATATGCAATAATTATGTAGGGTACATACTGCTTATGATCGCGTCAGCCACGTGGTAATACTGTAGACCTAAATTAGCCTCGAGGCTGTTCTGTAATTATATATATATATATATATATATATATATATATATATATATATATATATATATATATATATATATATATATATTCGCCGTTTTTTTTTATAATTATCAGTTCTCGTGCTCGGATCCGTATATGTTTGATTTACTTTATCTTCAGTTACGTAATATATATGTGCCGGAACACATATATATATATATATATATATATATATATATATATATAATATATATATATATATATATACACATATATATATATATATATTATATAGAAGAAATTAAGCTATTTATTAATTACCGCAATACTAGTAATTATTAATAATAATTTAATAATTTACCGAGTCGGGGGACAGGCAGCCAGGGTGCATTCATACACAGTATACATATCGAGGTTCCCCTCCAAGGTTGAATTACTGACCCCGCCCAGGATGTATGCCCACAAGCTGAATAATTCCTGAGAACCTACTCACGGCTAGGTAAACAGAGGCATTAGGTGAAAGGAAATGTACCCAACCATTTCTGTCCCGCCTAGGATTCGAACCCGGAATTCTTGATTGTGCTTCGAGAACGAACCTAGTACCGGGACATAATAAGATTTGTACATTTACATAATGGCACCTAAAAGATGTCTTGAGCATTAATCCGGATGCGTTTATTAAGCTAAAAGCAGTGAATGATAGCTCAATAACTATTTATGTCCATTTATGAATAATAAATGTGTTAACAAGAAAACGTATATACCAATGTGCACCGTACAGGTAGTGTTAGTTATATCCCACTTACATATTAGAGTAAAAAGCTATACTAATATTATTATAGAAACTGCGTAATGCATTTAAAATATTATTGTATTAATTTTATATCATTATCTGTAAGTAAATCGATGCTATAAATGGTGAAGTTATTGAGTAATTAAGGAGAAATTCTCGTGTAGTCGACCTGGAAGTATGCGGAGCCAGACACATCCTGACAACAGACAGCCAGTCGTCCATCATCACATTTCCTCTACTTTCCTGACCGCTATCTGGTAAGTCCTGACTAAAGTATACCTCCAATATACCTCAAGATATACTCGTGCCCTTGGGGGAGTATGAAGGAGGCTGTGAATGCCGATAACGGCAGGATTTCAGGTGGTTGGTGGTAGAGGAGGGTTTGTTGGGCCATGTCATCAGCTCTCCTGTTGAGATTAATATAATGACGCAGCTGGTCTGGCTGTGACTCTTAGTGGCACTCTCCGCCTCGATGGGCACTCTCAATCTCTCTTCTAGCCTCGTGCCCGTGTTCTCCTGGGGGCACGCGGTGTGTCTGGTTGGGTACCATAACCTGGCCCAAAGTTGGTACACGTCAGCGTCGTCAGTGACTTCTCTTCACATCGTACCCAAATCGGATTTTAAAACGTAACTAACCTATCTTACCTAACGTAATCCAACCCAACTGAACCCCGTACAATCTAACCCGGTCTAATTCAACAAAATCCATCCCAGCCTTACCCAATCTAATGTAACACCACCCTAAGCTAACACAGCCTATTCTAACAATATAAAGAATTTTTACAGTTAGAAATGGTGCATTGTCTAATTGCCTGTGTATGATCTAACCTAACCCTGTGACATAATGCTTGGTAAAGATGTTTAGTCACTTTGTGTATTTCACCAGAAAAAATTAATGTTGTGTTACATTTGCTTTATCTTGTATCGGAATAGTGCATTGCCCGCCGGTGGAGGCAGAGACAAATGGGCAAAATGTTTCTTTCACCTTGATGCACCTGTTACCTAGCAGTAAAAAGGTACCTGGGAGTTGGACAGCTGCTATGGGCTGCTTCCTGGGGGTGTGTAACAAAAAGGAGGCCTGGTCGAGGACCGGGCCTCGGGGACGCTAAGCCCCGAAATCGTCTCAAGATAACCTCAAGATGATGCCCCGTGGGTTGGTGCTCAGTGTATCGACAATCTTTAGATAAGAAGTCCCACAGTCTCTCGTTTCAGCTGCACTATATACATTATGTAATAGTAAGCTAGACTGGGTTTGGTTACATATGGTTTTCTTTGCTGTGTTTTGGATTTAAAGTCTTGGTAAATAATTGTATTAAATTTTTGTTTATTTTTTTATTCCTTATTGTAGTGATAGTCTAATATTGTGTATCACATTTTTGGCATTGGTGTTCATTTTGAGGCTGCACTGTTTTAACTCCTGCTTGGGTAAAAGTTGACTGACCTGCCAGTTTATTTGTCTTTGGCTCAAAGCTAAGGCTCTTGTGTTAAGGTTGGCTCTTTTGTGTTTGGCACAGTTTTATCATAATGTAACCCGAGTTTAATGTAGTCATTCCTAATGTAACTTCCTCGGACATCTACAGTTGGCGTGAAGAAGTGTGCTTGAAATAGGAAGATTTGTGATTCCTTATGGCTTATCTAGTAACTAATGGAAGTTGACACAGCCTTGGAAAAATATCATTTATGCATTAATAAAATATGCAAGCTACAACACAATATTATATTGTATTATTGTTAATAGACCAGCCTTAACTGATAATTTAACTCGCTACAAATTTTTTTCATAGGTATTTCTTTCATAATAACATGTTTGTAAAAGAAGTACTGTACAGTACAGTATTTGGTGCTGAAGATGATCTCGACTTTATGTAGTGGTTAATGTTCAGTTCATTATGTGGCAAGCGTATTGTCAATGGCTAGGTTTGCCATATCAAGATATAGTACTGCAGTTAACCTAACCAAGTCTTAACTTCGTGCAATGCAATTTTTGTAGGGAAGTTATTTATCATAATATAGCACCTACGTACATATTGTGAATGCAGCACATGTAAATATGGCTTTGCATTACGTTTAGTTCACAGTGAATTTGGCCTAGTGTCATATTCACAGGGTAGTCCTGGAAATAACATGACAAAATGTTATATTCAGAGGCTGTGTGCCCAAATAAGGTAGTGTTCCATGACATACCTGTATTAGAAAGTGGATCGTATGGGAAAACTTGGCACTTTTTTTGAGTAGCAACTTAAGAATTGTTTGAATTACTTACTTAGACTAACCCGAGGGTTGTGGCTGTGTTGAATACAAGCCTATGAGGCATGGAGGTCTTTGGATGCGTCCCCATGAGCCACTGCACTCATTGGGTACAGTGAAAACTACTGTACAAGTTGCTACCAATTAAATTTATAATTTTAATAATGACAATTTCTACTTTTCTAACTACTAACTAACCTAACTAATATTATACTAGACATAGTGTGTTAGGGTAGGTAAGAATAAGTAATATATTTTTATGGTTTTCAGGACTGGGAATTAAAATATTAAAAGCTGTATTGTACTAAGCGATACTGTTGCACATTATATATATATATACATCGTCAATTTAAAAATCCATTCAAGAGAAAATGGTTAACTTCAATGTATTATAAGGCACACATGAATGCTATGCTGTGTAGTACACAAAAGGTTATAAGTGCTGTATCTACTTGTATTTTATCAGTGAAGGAAAGATTGACTAAGTTTGTCCCACTTTCAACTCTGTCCCAGGTAGTCATGTTCTTTTCTAGGTGAGGTAGACTAGTGTTTTTTGTATAGGTAGGAACCATGCACAGTTCATATGTAATTCATTATTTCTGCATGAGATAAATGATTTAAAATATTGAACAATGAAAAACCACTGTTTGCATTTGACAAATTTCAGTGAAAGAGCATAGCAGCCATGTCAGACGAACAGCAATCTCAGAATGAGCCGCAGGAGGAGAGGCCACGAGTGACAGGTGTCGTAGCCCTGAAGGCTCATGTTATGGAGCACAAGGTGGATACAGCCCTCTGGGCTACAAGAGCCCTCACCCTAATATTCTGCATATCCTACCTTATACCAATATTTGGGTAAGTGTTTATTACATGTTGTCCATTGTGTTTATTGGTGTTGTCCATTTATACATTATTTTTAGTTTTACTTGACTGATTAAGATTTTGAGGCTAGGTAATGATAAAGTTACAAGATTGTATTGAAATTGCAAAGTTTGTTTGTAAAAATAACCTGAGGGTCATAATTAGTAGGAATTTAAAGCCAAAAAATCCATGCATAAATATTTGAAATAAGGCAAATAGGTACTGGATTTATTTCTAAAAGTGTTAGCAATAAAACACTTGTATTATTCTTCAGCTGTATCTTGCATTTGTTAGGCCCCCCATTTTGATTATGCAGTTTAGTTTTGGCCACCATACTACAGAATGAAAATTTATTCAGAAGAATGCATTCAGCAAAGGATGACAAAAGTTAATTCCACAAATTAGAAATATTACATATGAAAAGAGATTGAAAAAGCTTAATTTTCATTCTTTAGAAAGTTAGGGGTGACTTGATTGAAGTGTACAAGTGGGTGAATGAGCATAACAAGGGGGATGTTATTAAGATATTAAATATATCAACACAAAATGGAACACAAGACAATGAATATATATTGGATAAATTTAGATTTAAGAAAGACCTGGGTAAATACTTGTTGGAAACAAGGTTATTGCTTTGTGGAACAGATTAAGGTAAAGTGGATGTGGGATCACTTGATTGCTTCAAGTGTAGGTTAGACATACAGTATATATGAATGAGATTAGGTGCATATAAATTGGAGCTGCCTCGTATGGACCAATACACCTGCAGTTTCCTGAATTCTTACGTTTTTATGTACATAGTTTGTACAAGGGGGTTAAAGACACGTGTACCTCTGGATTACTGCTCATTTCCATAATAGGGTCAGTAAGAAATTAAAATGTATTATGTGCGGAATGTGCAAAAGTATGTAAATTGGGAGGTTTTACGTGCCGTGCAGAAGAAATATATGTGGGATGCTTCGTACAATTAAAGTACCGAGATGAAATCCTATTTTTTTTTACCAAGTAGCAATCGTAAATTTGTTCAGTAGGGTTACTGAAACGTTCCCATATCTAGGATCAATTCTGTATAAATGTTCCCACAACACACACGTAAAATACAGTACTATGGCATCCCCAGAAACCAAAATGCAAAATTAACCTTTTATATATATAAAAAAAGTGCATAATTAAGCATAAATCATCCAGTGGGATACATGCGTGGTGGTGCTTGCACAATTTTTTTTTTTCAATTTGCCACCTTTTTTTTGGAGGGGGGGGGGGCAGTTCCAGGTTTATATCAATGTCCACCAATAGGCTCGATGCAGTACTGTGCTTTCTACCAAGATTAAAAGTTGGTATCAAATTTACTTGTAGGTCGGCAAAGTTGTAAATTAATATTACTCGTCATTTCTACTTTCGTTCAACCTTTTATGATAAAATTTTAGCACAGTAAGCTAATTACAAATGTTGAGTAGCAAATATAATATCTGCCACAAGAATGTATATATTTATGGGTATAAATGTTTCATGTTGAAGCAACCTTGTATGCAGAGCTAATGTATGTAATCATTCCAGTAGTACGTAGTGTGATGATTTAGTTGAATTTTTTTTTTTACATATTTACATATTTTAGTTTAAATTTGAGGCTTCTCTGTTATTTACATCTTTTAGCAGTGTTTTTAAGTTTATATATTTTCTAAAAAATTGGAATGAAGTACAGTACATGTAGTGGGGTTGCTTTATCATTTGATTTACATGCTAAATATCCCTATACATGACTCATTCAGGCTTTTAAGATGCCATTGTATTGTTAAATGTACCATGTCATATTCAAGTACTGTATCTCACAGTGCTACCCTTGTTAGCACTGCTGTAAATGTTGGCAGTGGTAAGATAAATGTTAATTGTCATTTTACTTAAGACCCTACTAGGTGAATTAGCTTGTATACACAACTACAAATGTCATAGTAGTTTCTCATAACATTTCAGAGTGGTATGGAAGCTCACTATACAATTGAAGTGTCATCTATGTTACTGGTAAATCTGGTCTTGGTAGATTGCTTGTGTCTGGCCTTATTATTGTCCTGCAAGAGCTCGGCAACAAGTCTGTATATCTTGCCTATGGGAGAGGTAGGTTCTGCGGTGGGACGTGTGACTTGACATTATAGAATTAACCTGTTACCAGTGCTTCTAAAGTTGGATTTTGGCTCTCTCTGGTGCATTTGTTTGGCGTGTTTAGCTTAGGCTGCTGTTTTATTTAGGAAACTAAAGGTAGAAATTTATTGCAATGTAGTATATTATTTTCTAGATTGTTAAGCAGTGCATGACATGTTATCTTGGTGTTGAGATTTAGTGTGGAACAATTTTGTGATGTATCTGTTAAATCTCACAAGGCTTTGTGAAAAGATAGGCGACATTAAACAGTTTGTGAAATGTGTTACACTGTCGAGTGTTTCAGTGAATAAGGATGAATCTTAATTCTGTGCTTCTTTTACAGAAACCCTCACAGTAGTTACCAGAAAGTGTTGATGAGCAATGCTGCTACGTCTGCTCTGAGACTTCATCAGCGAATCCCTTCTGTTCAGTTCTCCCGAGAATTTTTGACTCAGCTGCTCATGGAAGATTCTGCTCACTACCTTCTCTATTCAATCATCTTTATGTATACATCTCCAATCACAATGGTCTTGGCTCCAATATTCCTGTTCGCTCTGTTGCACTTTGCCAGTAACTCTCTCTTACTTCTTGATGTAAGTATGATTTCTTTATATGGCAAGTAGTTTTTCAGTTTCTTAGAATGGATTATATACTTCTCATATAATTTTGTTAAGTATATTTTAATAAAGTTTAGAAAAAGTCAGCTAGCAAAAGACATTTTCAACATAATTACAGTTTCTTTAAGTCAGCCAAGCCATTATCTACAGTATTTTTCAATATTTGTTCTTACTGCTGTTAGCAAGCCTAGATTATTACTGGGTAGTTATGACCTTTGAATTTACAGCATTAACAATGCACTAGTTATTTCAGTTAACTTATTTATCATCATCAAAGTTAACGCTGCTTGTAAATGACTTTCTCCTGTTCTACAAATTATAATTAGAATTAAGATTTCTTTCCATTAACCCAACAGTTTGAGCAGCTGTTTGGCAAATTGCATGTTTAGCGACACTTGTTGATCATCCGATGTACTATTCTGTCCCACCGGAATACTTGTAGTTGGCACTGTATAACACCTACTGTGTACCCATTACACACCAGCACACACTGCTGGCTGGTGCTTTACAAGACCTGTTATCTGTTGTTTCTGAACAAGCTACACTGGTCAAATATTGAATGAATTGAGGTGCCAGTTCAGCGTTCGGTGTTTTCTGTGAAAACTTGTTCACAGTTACTGTGCTTTGTAGTTGCTGAAATGTTACTGACAATTATGCTAAGCTTTATTACTATTTCAGTAATTTGTTATAATTAATTATTTTTCTCCTTTAGCTCATAGGCCAAAATAATGCCCTGGGATCACGGTTCCTCATCTCGCTGGTAGAATTTCAGCACAGAAATATTCTTCGAGGAGCTGCATTTGTGGAGATATTTCTGATGCCTCTCTGCACTGTTTTACTTTTTCTGTAAGTACTGAAAAATTATTGTACTACAGTTGACACTAACCAATATGTGAATTTCTTTTGTGTGGATAATTATATAATTGTAATTGCAGAATGAAACCCAAGATTTTGGTGTTAAGTCTTCCTTATAATCTTTATAACCCTTCCTTATAATCTTTATAACCCTTCCTTATAATCTTTATAACCCTTCCTTATAATCTTTATAACCCTTCCTTATAATCTTTATAACCCTTCCTTATAATCTTCATAACCCTTCCTTATAATCTTCATAACCCTTCCTTATAATCTTTATAACCCTTCCTTATAATCTTTATAACCCTTCCTTATAATCTTTATAACCCTTCCTTATAATCTTTATAACCCTTCCTTATAATCTTTATAACCCTTCCTTATAATCTTTATAATCTTCCTTATAATCTTTTTCAGTTATTGCTGTTCAAACAAAATTCTCCTTATCAATTCCTTTTATAATTTTGTTCCAAATGATCATATAACCCCTTTTTCATTGGTCTGACAATTTTAGCATATAGTGGTTGACATTATTTGCACATAATGTATTTATTTATACAGAGATTTTGCCAAATAAGAAAAAACATATTGTGTTTGCAAAAAGAAAAAATTCGCATTTTCTCGTTCCCGTGACGCAGTCTGCATCCAAAATTTTTCTCACTGATGTACGCCGGTAATGCAAGTTGTGTTCCAAAATAAAATATTTTTTAAATTTCTAATTTCTATCCGATCATTTGGTACTGGTTTTAAAATGAGTGCCTTTAGATTGCGCGCAATTTGATACCATAATGAACGACGTAGCACGACAATTCAGGTCAGAACGCAGGAAAGATTATGAATACTTTTGTGGTGATGAGCGTCAAAAAATAAATTATTTGTTTAAATTCCATTTATTGTTTGATCATTATGGGACTAGTTTTAAAATGTACGCCTTTAGATTGTTTACAATTTGATATAAAAATGAACAACGTAACACAAAAATATGTTATCAAACTGAAAAAGAGTATGCACATTAGGTTGCGGGTGTGCCAATTGGAGCTCGCTCCTGGGTAACGCTTGGCTGACCTTCGGCTTTGCTGTGGGGGGGGTGTCTCGCTGGGCATTTGAACCTTATATGCATATACCCTCCTGTAGGAAATTTTATTGTGAACACATTGATACCAAAAGGAACAATGTAGCACAAGAATTGAGGTGAGAAAACTGAAAAAAAGGGAGTATACACAGTTTACTGCTCTTGCGCTCACGGGTAATGACTCTGTCGATTTATGGGTTTGGTGTGGTTGGCACACCGGGCTTTTGGACCTTACATGCATATATCCCTGTAGGGAATTCTATTGCGAACACTATGATACCAAAATTAATGACATAACACTAAAATTGAGGTGAGAAAACTGAAAAAAAAGAGTATACACATTTTAGTCTGGACACGCACTGACTAGAAATGAGGTAGGCTGGGGCGCGTGCACCGGGGACACGTAAGTGTTAATGGGTAGAATGTCAGCATATTCATAAATTTGTGAATGTGCCAGTGACTTTCTCCTACCCAAGAGGCCTAGTTATATCAAACAAGTCCTGCTAGCAGCTAGAGGGACAAGCCGAGGTGGGTCTTGTGTGTACTCTGGCTGCACGTATACCCCAAGGGACAACCCAAGGTGGCTTTCGTGTGTACTCAACCTACACGTATATCCCAAGGGATGACCCAAGGTGGCTTTTGTGTGCACTCGGCCTGCACGTATACCCCAAGGGACAACTCGAGGTGGCTCTCGTGTGTACTCAGGCTGCACGCATACCCCAAGGGACAACCTGAGGTGGCTCTCATGTGTATTCGGCCTGCATGTATACACATATACCCCAAGGGATACTCTCTCATTGTCCCTATCTGTTGTTTTGAGTTTTGTATGAGCATTCATCTGTGATTACCCTTAATATCCCTAGATTTATCAATAAAAATTTACATCATTTTCCTAATACAGTGATCCCCTCCGTTTACAAATGTAATTCATTCCCAGAGACGGTTTCTAACCCGAAACAAATTTTCCTGTAAGAAATACATGTAAATTAATCCATTCCACACTCCCAAAAATATTAACTTTCTAAATACTTTACATACATAATTATCACAAACATTTAGTACTACAGTATGTACAAGTTATAGCTTCCCTTTATTGATGACTTGTTGGTGTATGAAAGATGGTGGGGGGGGAGGAGAGGTGTTAGTGTTTGGAAGGGAAGTCCCTGTCCATTATAAAATCGGGCAGTGATGACTTCTGCTCGCAGTTACAGCTCTGCTCCTGTGCCAGGCAAGTCCACTACAGGCTCACCATAGCCTGTGCTACTTGGAACTTTTAGTTCCTAGTAGCTGAATCTTAAACAACAACAAACGACGACTTTCTGGGGCACACACACTCTCCTACATTTTGCCTGCATACCACTAGGACCTGGTTGTGGCTCACTGCTTGTTTTTCTCACTAAGAATGTTTACATAGACTTGTTTTTCCATATGTTTTAACATTTGTCTGTAGTGAGGGATCACAGTGTCATTGAAATGGTTAGGGCAACGGCATACTGCAGCTTGATTTGTGTAAGTCGTTTCAACAAAACTTTGCATTTCTTCCCATGCTACACACAACTTAAGCGCACACCATCTTCATGTTTATGAATGATTTCTTGTTTTTCCTCTATGGTCATCCTCACATGTGTTTTCTTAGGTTGAACCTTACCACTGACATTCTTGGGACCCATGGCTTATATATAGTAATTACTTTTATTTTCAAAACCCAAAGAAGCCAAAAAGCAATGACATTCTTTACAAAGAATTCATGCGCGATCATCACTAAGCGGGAGGCACTGGTAAATTGAAGCGTGAGTGACCGTGCCACCAGGAACCACACGCTAGGTCACACATACGTATCAACAAACTTCATTACCTGAGGCTAAGCTCGTAAGCCGATTCACATGTTACGAAGAAATTGGGCTCGTAACCCGAAAAGTTTGTAAATAGGGGCATTCGTAAGCCGAGATGTCACTGTAGATTGTTTCCAAGTTCAGTAAATCAGTTTGTTTTTTGTGTTTCTGCCTTTCACTGTATATTTGTATGAATTAGACATGTACAACACTGGGTGATGGGTCGCTCGCAGATCCAGACCTAAAATTCACTCGATTTAAACGTATATTCACATACGCACGCGCACACCCCTGCTGATTGACAGTTGAGAGGTGGGACCAAAGGGCCAGAGCTCAATCCCCGCAAGCACAACTAGGTGAGTACACTCACTCACTTTTCCATCCTTTCCCTTCATTTTCCTTCCCTTTCCTTCCTTTCTTTTGATGTCCTTACTTTCTTTTGATGTATTGCTGTACATCAAAAGGTTGCAGGCTACCTGCTAACACTTCCACACACGTGCTTGCCAGACCACATACCAGAGATTCACTGCCACATAAGAACTCCTGACACACATGTCTATCTGCCTATCCACCACCAACCCGTTTTCTCATTTTTGTATAAAATCATTTCCAATATAATGTAGTGACCTGACCACCTTTAGACTTTAGGATATTACCATACTCAAATTACAAGCTTGTCTAATACTGAAACATATTTTAAATGAAAAGTAGGGTGTGTATAAAGTATGATAAGATATTTTATAACTAAGGGCCTAGGTAATTTCAGTCCTGTCTCATCAAATATTGGCAATACCAACAGACCCTCTGTCTTCAAAAGGGACATTTGTAATATCCTCTTTGAAATCTCTGGCTTGGTTGTAGTAATTATAGCAGACATTGAGCAGGCTATTATCAATCTTTGTCAGGTGGCACAGTCAAAGGTTGAACTTTGGGGAGATTGATTCCCAAATTCTTCAACGGTAGACATTTAATTAAATAACAAAAGCTTGATCAGAAAATGTGAAAAGTTGCATTCAGTAGCTATTTCCTGAAATTTGTTATAGATATTTTTATTATATAGTTTTCAAAATGAAATTGAACCTTTATGCTTTTCAGGTGAATGAAACAATAAAAAGACAGTATTTGATGAAACCAAGTTATTACTTTGCTTTTTATTGCTGTGCATGTAGTACATTTAACTATTTTCAGACAAGAAAAGTTTGAATTAACAGTGTATTTTCTATTTTCAGAGGCAGAGTTAGTCTATTAACTCCATTTGTTTACTACCGCTTTTTGACCTTAAGATACTCATCTCGGCGTAACCCTTACACTCGTAATATGTTCCATGAGCTTCGGATGACCTTGGAGTATACTGTCAACAAACCGGGGATCCCAGTGTTTCTACGCAATGCTGTAAATCGTGCTATTGCCTTCATCTCGGGCATGGCTCCTGCAGGTGTTTATCAGTAACTTTGGTTGTAAATATTATTTTTAGGGGTATGTAGATTGCAATTAGAAAATGGAGGGCAAAAAATTTATTTAATTAAAATTGTAATAAACAGAACTTTGCATGATGAGGGAATGGACATTGTAGATCTCTCATTAAAATATTAATTTAAATTTTAATTTTTAATTTAGCATATTTGAGGACCAATTAAATGTTTTATAAAACTTATAATAGTCTGTCAAATGTAATTTTGTTATGTTAACTTTTTACCACTTAAGTATCGCGAAAAACAAATATTTATAAAATATATATATGAATTTTATTTGAAAGTTTTTTAAAGTACAGTTTTATGAGACTACACCAAAGTAATTATTCAGTGTTTGGCAGGGGTTCATTGTTGAAGACTGTAACCAAAATGTCTCCTCTATGGAATGTAATTTGAAATTTCAGAACTAGTAGCCTGAATGTTGTGTCAAGGGGTATTAAATGACACTGGGTAATTTGAAATATACTACATTAACCCCAGAAGGAGTAAAAGTAAGTAGAGATCTGGACACTTACTGAAATGCCCAACCTCCATCAGTAATAGCATTTTAGAATATATAAAGTTAAGAGATATTTAAATGAGGACTTTATAAATGGTGAACTGCAGTGCAGTGGTGGCTTGAAAACAGTGTTCTGCAAAATTAGTAAATGAACATAAAAGTAGTTGCTAAATATGTTTGCCTGGGTCCAGTACTTTCATCCAAACATTGAAGACAATGGGTTTGCTAACATCCTTGACTATTAATGCCAAGCTTTATGAGGAGCACTGTCAGTACACCTTTGGCCTTCTTAAATATGTAACCTACAGAATGTATTTTTGGAATTGTATTGCTTAAATCTCTTAAAACAAAGATAACAATGTTGCCACATCATTAAGAGTATTACAAAATACACGTTATAGTGTTCATATCATTTGTAGATTTCTTCATTAGCCAAGAATGGAGCAGTGTTGACAATTTCATTACAACTTTAGTGACTGGCTGCTGGTCTTTGACACCATGAATTAGTATGTAATAAGGTCTAATTCTTGCAGAACTTGGTAAGAAATGTTGGAATGTAAAGTGATCTTTGTGGATTTTTTTTTTTTATTAACTCTTTGAGGTGTGTGTGTGTGTGTGTGTGTGTATGTGTATATACATACACATTCAAACATATACATGTATTCATTGTGCAGTAGGCCCATAGCACATGCCTCATCTTTCATTTCAAAAGCTTTGTCAGTGAAACGTTCTACCCCAAGTTACATGATTGTATAATTGGGCCAAAATATATATATATACAAATAGGCCCACATGAGGTCGCTTTATATTCATATATTGTATACGAGCTTTCTCAAGTGGGCCCATTCGAGGCAGCTCATATTTATATCAATTTAAATAGGTGATGCCTCAAATAAGCCTATTAGACTATATGAGGGAGCTGTTATTTAAATCAATATAATTAGGAGTTGCCTTGTGTTGGCCCATTCGTGGCAGCTCCTATTTATATAGATAAGAGGAGCTGTCTAGTATGGCCCAAAACCCCTTCTGCATTTTATCAAGTTAAAATGATGATTGGTTGATGTGGTATACTTCATTATTTGATAAAACTATATGAACATCATTGTATAAAATTCCATCATATGCATACCAATCACGATTACTGCATTCTAATAGTAACATTTGTGACCAAATTAACAAGGTAACGTAACCATGAAATGATAGCATGAGTTTTTTAATGTGTAAGAAAAAAAATGGTAATTGCTGGGCTGTGTGTGTGTGTGTGTGTGTATATATATATATATATATATATATATATATATATATATATATATATATATATATATAAACTACATCCACATAGCACTATTATATCCACATTAGCATCATACGTGTAAGACCCAGACAATAATAATTTAATTGAACGTATGACGATAGCCACATTACCCCAGGCATCAATGAACGGCAATAACCATCTTAAAGGGTTATTTCAATGATTAAATAAAGGGTTTAATAAATAGTTCATTAAATTAATAAATTAGTTATAATAAAATTAAATGGTTAATTTTTATCTTGTTGGTTTTCATTTTGTGTTATTGCTGGCACAAATTACATGTGATAAACCCATATGTTAAAAACACCTGGTTTTATTTACAAACGGAGGGCTGTCTGTGCATTTATGTGTTGGTCTTTTTATAAAAAAAATATGAATTGTAATGAGAAAAATGTTTACATTAAAGTTTTCACTGTTGAGGGGCTGCAGAGTATTTGCATTCATTAATGTTTAAAAGTAAAAAATGCAAGTATTGTTTTTATTACTCCTCTTATTTTTAAGGTCAATTGACAGTTTAAGCATTTAGTCTTAAAAAGACATTGTACCAATTTTTTTTTTCCACTGAAGACTTGCATTTGCCATATTTGTTACAATATTGACTAGTGACCCTTAAACCAATGTTTTTATACATATATATATATATATATATATATATATATATATATATATATATATATATATATATATATATATATATATATTAAACCCGATTTGCCTAATAAGCCAAGTTTTTATGAATTAATTGTTTTTCGGCTACCTAACTTAACCTAACTTTTTCGGCTACCTAACCTAACCTATAAAGATAGATTAGGTTAGGTAGGGTTGCTTAGGTTTGGTCATATGGGTAGCTTTATCATTTCATATGAAAAAAATTAGAGAAAATATATATTATATGGGCTGGGCTGCATGCTTGGCTAAATTAATTTTGGGGTTTAACCCCTGAGCCCATTATGTGCCTCTGTAAACCTTTCCACTACCGCCCACAGGATGGGTATAGGGTGCATAATTAATGAACTAAACTAACTCAATGCACCTTGGGGAAACGGCCGCAGCTTTAATGAGCTTGGCCTGAGGACAGATTTGTTAAATTGTATCATGAGATAAAATAGAAGGGGCGCAAAACCCAACCTAGCCTTAATTAAACACAGAAAACTTGAAAAAAATATTAAAATTTGGCTAACCTATACTAATTACTGTATATGAGAGCAGTGAACTCATATGCCATGACTCATGGCGCCTATAAATGTTAGGCCTATAAAAATAATGTGTTTAACAAACTGTAGAGACTTTTGAAATTGGAATAAGTCTATTGAATTATAAATACACTCAAATACACACTTGAGCCGCCCCTACAAAACGACAGAGATCAGAGAAAATGGGACAGGAGTCTGGAGAAGAGAAGCGACCAGTCTTCACAACAACAACAACAACAACCCCCCCTCGGTCGACTGCTAGCGGCCATGGAGTGAGGACGTTTACCGACCCTCCGTGGCTGTTGGAGTTGTTTGCTGTTTTGGTGACCAGGTGGTGTGTGCGTCCCTGCCCTACCAGTTTTGTTGCCTGCCTGGCTGCGTTGACGTGGCAGTTCTGACATGGGGGGCCATCTTCCTCCTGTTCAGCGTGTGAACTCTGTGGGCCTGGAGTTCACTTGTAAGGCTGGTTATCCGACCATCGAGATGGTGATGTGTGACATGCTTCGTGTCCCGGTGGAAGCTGTTTACGGCCCATCGGGTTGTTATTAAGTTCGTGGGGGAGGACGAGTACCGGGACTTCCTCCGTCGGTACGGGGGGCGTACGTTGCCGTTGCCAGACGATGCCGGCTCTGTGGCGATTTCGGACCGCAGTGGTGCCCTGACTTATGTCAGTATCCATGGTGCGCCCCTGGAATTCCCTGATGACCTCCGGCATTACTTCGGGGGGTTTGGTACTGTTGTCAGCGTGCAGGTGAACACGCTCTCCTCGGGGCGGTGTGCTGGGAGGCATACAAACATTCGCATGTTGGGGATGCGCCTGCGGTCGGATATACCTTCTTCTGTCCGGCTTATGGGATACTACGTCCGGGTGTATTAGGCACGGCAGCCTCGTACCTGTTTTCGGTGTGGCCTGTTGGGGCATCAGGCTGCCGGGTGCTCTGAGGCCCCTGCTGCTCCTGTCAACTTGTTCCGCGACAAGGATTTCCCGCCGCTCCCTCTGGAGGCAGTTTCCGGTGATGATGAGGTGGTGCACGTCCCGTTTGCTGCTGCAGCTTCCCCGGCGGCACCTGCCGTTCCTCCGGTTGTTGAGGTACCGTCGGTTGGTCTGCCTGATCCTGTCGCTGTTCCAGCTGCTCCCGTGGGCCTTCCTGGAGCCCCCTGTGTGACGTCGCTGTCTTCTCCCTTGTCTTCTGATGCTGTGCCTGGCCCTGTGTCCGTGACTCGGGTCCCGGATGTGCTTGGTGCTGGGGTGGCTGCGGAACCTCCTGCTGTGTGGGGCCCGGTTCCCCCTGTGGTAGAGGATGCTGCCGTTCTGGCGTCGGTTCCTTCGGCTCGTGGTACCCGTGTTTCTGGGTCACTTACCGGCTCTGACGATATCCGCCCGGTGCCCAAACGTTCCCGGCGTTCGTCTTCTTCCTGGACCGACGTTGGTGACTTCAATAACTGCGGGGCTTCAGGTATTGACAGTGTGGATACGGATGCGTCGATGTCTCTGCGGTTCGTGGTGGCGGAGGTCCATGTGCCTGCCGGTGCTGGTGCCTGTGTCTCGGACGTGCCTTCGGTTCTTTCTCCGCCGGGGGACTCTCCACAGTGGGGGGTGGTGGCTTCCGCTGCCAGGGATGGTGTGGACTCTGGTGCTGGGCATGGCCTGGTGGTGACGTTACGGAAGGATGCGCGCCGTCCGGGTTCCCTGCTGTCGTCTGGTGGTGTGCCTGGGGCCACGGGTACCCCTGTGGTGCGGGTGCGCGTTGGGCCTGGGGGACGTGTTGCCAGCGTCTGTGATGCCGCCGGGTCACTGGTTGAAGATTGCCGAGTTACTGCTGTCTGACGGACCGGAGTGCTTTCATGGTGGGCAAGTTCCCTTTCTGTGGGGGCGAGTAGCTACTTCTCGCCTCCTGAGTACTACCATCTGGGTCCCCAGTTTGCAGGTGTTTGTTGCTCCGGTTCCGGATGTTATGGCGTCCCCGGTGGATGGACGGGACCCTTTGCAATGGGTGTTCTGGGAGGCGTTTAATGTGCGGTTCCCACGGGCCAAGTTCGCGGGCAAGTATGTGCTCTGATTTCCTGTGTATTTGCTCTGTGACATGCTGTGTGCCCTTCTGGCTGTTTGTTTGCCCTGTTCTATTATGTGCTTCTGCCTCTCCCTTTGTGCGTTGCTTTGCCGTGTGGCATATTAGTTTCTAGTGCTTGGCGTCACTCGTTTCGCGTTTTGGCTTGACATTTCGCCTTTCCTGGCTTTGCGATTCACCCTTCACGGGTACGCCGGGGCGCATCCGATCCCACGATCGTCGTCGCCCCTAACTCAACAACAACAACAACCCCCCCTCCCCCAACAGTCCCTTAAGGCCCATTGACCCGAAAATCCGAAGAAAAATGGAATATTTACGAAAAATTACGAAAAATACTACAACGTTCTGGCAACACTGGTGCAAACCGTTTTATGTTATCTTGAAAAATTACGTAGAGTTAAATTTCCCGCTGCAACTTTCCCGAATCCGGTCCTCGCGGCCTGGGTGCGCTGCGGGGTATTGTCTTACATTGTAGAAGTCTAATATTTCGTAATAGCGTTGAAAATAACATGTTATGCATAAAACGAATATAAACTCACTCATTGGCAACAGTCTCGTGTGAGGGAGAGGGTGGGGTTCGTGGCTTAGCAGTCAGTTACTGTGTGTGTCCCTCAGCTAGTGGATGTATCGTTGACGCGCTCTCACAATATCTCCCAGAACTCATGCTATTTTTGCTGCAATATGACGTACCAAACGAACAAGAGAAAAGCATTGAAAGCTAGATGCATGCGAGCTCTCCATAGAAGGTACGAGCTGGCCGCAATGCGTAAATCACGCATTGTGACCGTAAATCACGCATTGTGACGAGTCGCCGCCGCGAGTATGAGTAACTTGTCGCGGTGCGCTACCCCACTCCAACTTTTACAACTAGATCTGCCTTCACAGCCTTTATTTATTATTCAATTTACATGAAACTTTGCACATTATATGTAGAGTTTATGCCTCTAAAAACACATCTAGTTTTTATTATCTACGTAGATTTATTGATTTTATAAATAATGATAAACTTCATTTTGTTGCATACGTTTTTGGGAAACTTTAAAAATCTGTATTATTGCACTAAATACATCTGGGATAAAAATCCTTGGTTCAAATCTTTATTATATAGTAAGGTCATAGCTGAGTGTCATAGAAATGATTTTGGTTCACAATTGTGGGCTGTGAAAACAATTGAACATTGTTGAAAAAGTGTCTAAATTTTTTTTTTGCTTTTTTCTCCTTCTCTATTTAGGCTGAGATGCTGAAAGTTGGCCTAGTTGCAGCACCTTTCACATGTATCAGGATAATAAATTATGAATACCCTACAACAACTCTCATAGTTCCTGGTAAATAGCCCCTTACCAACAACGTCTACCTCTCATGCTCCCGTCTTGGGTTGGTACAGTTATAGTAGTATGTATTGTAATCGCATAACCCTTGTCTGGTAGGTATGTGATACACTAAAGTGGTAACCAAGAGTCATTCCACGCCAGTTTCCCCAGACATGGTTGTCAACGGACCATAACGTCTGCCCTTAGCCCTACCAGCTTGTATTTTGTTTTGTTTTAAAGATATATACAAAAGTTGTTACATTCTTGTACAGCCACTAGTACGCGTAGCATTTCGGGTAGGTCCCTTGAATACGATCCCCGCCGCGAAGAATCGTTGTTACAACCAAGTACCCATTTGACTGTTGCGTTAAACAGAGGCTACAGTTAAGGATTTGCGGCTAGTAAATCCTCCCCGGCCACCCCCTCCCCATCCGGCCCGTTGGCGTCGTGAGGGGACTTGGTGGACGGCTGCCGGAGTGTGATGCTCCGTGGGGCAGTCCTCTGTCCTTTTCTGGCCTTGCACTCCTGCTGCTGTCTTCTCTAATTGTGCCGGATCGCTTTTCCTTTTCCTTATGTTTCGTTTTTCTCCTCCCTCTTCTCGTATCTGCTTGTCGTTTCCTGCTGACCTTTTGCTTGTTTTGGATTATTTCTTTGGACTTCTTCTATTTTGATGCCCGGGTGCTTGAGGAGGCATACTCTTGCACCCGTAGAACTGTAGTACCCAACGTCTCGAGCGAGGGGAACCTTTTATTGTCAATCCCCCTTTCGTCGCTGAACCCGATCTCGACGGATTGACGGTTCTTAAGGTGGCGTTTGTGGGGCGTATACTCACGACGCACCCCTAGGGAGCCCCGGCATGATCGGCGATAGCTTCCTGTTGGGTGTCCTGCCTCTAAT